CACGCCCGACACGCATACGGGCGTGCTGCTGGGCACGGGGATCAGCACTGTGGGCGTGCTCGTGGGCCCCACGTACGAACACTGCGCCACAGCCGCCTTCAGAGCCGCCTGGTAGAATGTGTCGATGTTGAAGATGGAGTAGGGGCTGGCTTGCATCATCCGCAGGCGCCCGAGATAGCATGACGAGCATAACTCGGTGCTGGGCATCTTGGCCAGCGTGTCCGTCAACGAGAAGCCGTCAATCACGTCGGTGCAGTAGGCGGCCGACGGAACTGTGCTCTCTTTCTGGCACGTCTCGTTATAGCCGTACCAAATGTAGCCGCCTGACATGGCCAGCGGCGCGCCCGACGCCCACGTGTAGCCCGCACACTGCTTGTTGACGGCCGTGTACCACGCCTGCAGCGAGTGACCGCAGCTGGCGGCACACACAGCGTCCTGGAGCGTTGCGTTGCCCAGCGAGCCATGGTAGCTGGGCGTCAGAAACGACAGTGTTGTGGGGTCGCAGGCGATCCGCGCCGTTAGCGCCGTTTTGCACGTGTCGGGAAAGGGCGACCCGCTGCGGGCCGACGCGAGACCCTCGAGTGTGTACAGCTGGTAGCCCGTAATGTTGCGCGCGCCGGTCGTCTGGTTGGCGCCCTGCAGCCACGCCAGCACTGACGACGCGTAGCCGTTCTTGTTGGCGGCGGCGACGACGGGCGCGCTATTGAGCGGGCTGATCATGTCAATGTTGCCGACGGTGACGAGGTTGAACACCCAGACGTCTGCGCTCTGCTCCACGTAGAAACTGCTCTGCTGGCAGTTGCTGGCGCCGCTGTTGATGCACGTCTGGTCGTAATCCTGGAACCACGTGTAGAGTCCTGTGCCGAGCACAAATACGGACGCGCTGTCCACCACGCGCACGGCCCACGCCATGGCGCATGTCTTGGAGCCCGCGGCACAGCTGGCAAAGTCGGGATCGCTCGCAAACACCAGGCTGTCGCCAAACGGCGCCGGCGCCGCGGGGGCGGTTTGGTAGTACGGCGATTCGGTCTGCACCAGGCCCACGAACACGTTAGCCGCGCCGGCCAGCTGATACTGGTACAGCGTGCAGTGCTCGGCGGCGGTGCCCCATAGCCAGGTCGGGCCCTGCGACTCGATTAGAAGGCCACGCGCGGCAAAGAATTGATCTGCGTCTGGTTGGCCGAGTCCATGTCGTGGTCCGCCGTCCACATCCATACATTCTCGAGGTACGCCGATGCAGATGCCGTGATGTGCATGAGCATCGAGGCGGCAATACAGGCTTTGTTCTGTGACGTGGTTGGGCAGTTACTTTCTTGCAAGTTGGACCCTTTGGCGCCGCCAACCCTGAAGTGGGAGTCTACATATGTCAGATGGGAAGGGGAAAGAAATGAAAAGAAAGCAACATGGAAAAGTCTCACCCCACAACCCGGCCGAGCCCTGAGTTGACGCGTGGACATTCCACTCCACCAACACAGCGCCTGCCGTGGCCCCACGGACGGTAAACAAGAGACATTGTATCTCGACGGCACCGACCGAGCCGGCAGTGCCCACCTGCACGGCCACGTGCGGATGCTGAACATCGGAAAAGGCCGCACCGGATGCCATAATCTGGGGCCAGGCTTGGCCGATAATGCGCGAGCCCACAGGCACGTTGAGCGTCTCTGTGATGACGTAGATGCCCGACGGGATGTAGACGACGGCCGATATGTTGGCAGCCGCACTCAGAATAAAGTTGAGCACCGCCGTGTCGTCCGTGACGCCGTCACCTTTGGCGCCCCAGGCCTTGACGTCCACGAGCTGCGCGTTGCCGAGGTCTGCATAGCTCGGGCGTCGCCGCGTGAAATAAAATGCCTGGGGACCCACCGCCAGACCACTGGTCACGAGACCCGTTGGTCGCGTCGGTGTCGGAATGGTCCCGCCGTTGTAGAAGCTGGTGCTGCCCGTGGCATCCGTCACGCGGCCAAAGCCCCAGCCAGGGATGGTGATGGACACCGTGGCGCTGCTGCTGCCGGCGTATAGGACCTTGTTGGTCCGGGACTCGTGCACAATTGTGGAGACGTTGGTGAACTTGCTGTTTTGGATGAAAAAGGACGTGGAGTTGTCGGCAAAGAGCGACGTTTCCACGCCTACCGCCACGTTCTCCATCACCACATCCGTGAGTGCCAGCGAGCCGACGCCCTGTCCTGTGCTCAGGGGCTGTTTTGTTAGTGGGCGCATGAAAATAGAAGTCAACGAGGGGACAACGGGGAACATACACCACCTGCACCACCAACAATTATGACGCCGGTGTGGGCATTGACAAAGTTGAGGTTCTGCATTGTCCATCCCCAGTCCCACGAGAGCTGCAGTCCTGTAATGCAGTTGTAGAAGAGAAGCCCGCTGGCAGTAAACTGCTGATTGCCCATGAACGCCCTAGTTCAGGTTAGAAACGAAGAGATGGCCGTGAGATGGCAGGAAACGAAAGAAGGCAAGAAGCGTAACGGCGAGACATACCCAAACTTGCCACCGGAGAAGTAGAGCGAGCCCAGGAACCCGCCACTCCCATTTTCCATGTAAATACCCTGTTGTGTCGTGGCCGGATTGTCGTCGGTCTGCAGAAAGTATATGTTTTCCAGCGACGAGCCCTGGGCCACCTGCCAGTGGATGCCGCAGACCTGCGCGTCCTGCGGCGTTGCGCGCACATCAATGACAAAGTTGCGGATGCTGCGCAAAAAGTTGTTGGTGTTGACGTACCACTCCGTCGTCTCGCCCGTGTACACGTCCGAGCTGAACACGCCCAGGCCCACAAAGCTGGCGGCTGCCTGGATGACTGGCAGCGTCAGCGGGCTGCCCAGCATCTCCGTGTTGTAGTACTGCACGATGGAGCTGCTGACGAGGTACGTGCCGCTGGGAAAGTACACGGTGGCCGGGTACACGGAGCTGCTGGCGCACGTGCCGCCGCCGCACCGACCGCCGTCCGAGATGGCCCGCTGGATGGCGGCCGTGTCGTCGGTCACGCCGTCGCCCTTGGCGCCGTAGTCTTTGACATTGCGCCACACCTTGTAGCCGGCCGGCGCATACGGGCTCGTGCCCCGCTGTGTCATGGTTTCCTGCCAGTAGACGGCCGTGTCCCGTGCCACAACGCCCGAGGTCGCCTCGGCAGTGGCATTTCTGTCTGCCATCTCGGAAACGGCGGAGCCGTTCTGCAGGCGCACGGCCAGCTCGTCTGGCGGCACGTACTGGACCAGACCCGACGGGCGCTTCATCTTTTGCGGCATGGCGTTGGTGTCGTTCGTCTTGGGCGCGGTCTGCCGGTGCACCGCCTGCAGCTGTGCCACGACATCGTGGGCCGACGACAACGGAGGACGGGCACCAGCTTCAGCCAGAATGCTGGCCGCTGCGACCACTTCGGGCGGAACGCGGTAAGAGGCGCCGGTAAAGTTGCCTGTGACGTTGGCATGAGATGCCGTCTGGTTGAGAAACCGGCGCTGCACGGCAGCCGAGCTGTTGTCGGACGCAGCTCCGTATGGGAGATACGGCGTTGGCACGTTGCCCTGGGCGAGCGTCGAGCTGTTTACGGCCGACTGTGCGTTGCGCTTCGGATGTGCCAAGATGTATGCATTGGCGGCTGCCATCGCCTTCTGGAAACCGGCCACGATATCGCGGGCCTCTTCGACAGAAACGGAGCCATTCGCGCCCCGTGCCTGCATCTGATGGAGAGCATGTGCCTCCGCGTGGAGGTGGGCATGAACATGAGCGTGGGCGTGGGACTTGTCGTGATGCACCGCAGCGGCACCATGCACAAATATACAAGTCAAAATTAGCAGAAACTGCAGATGCAAAGCGAACCGCCACGGCGGCGGATGTCGGTGTCGAAATACCATCTCGAGGAATTGCACAGCTTAGTGCACATGAAAAATCGCTGATAATAGAGAGGTAGGGAGTTAGATACGTAGAGAGTTAGAGACGTAGAGAGTTATAGAGGTAGAGAGTTGGAGAGGTAGAGTTAGAGAGGTAGAGTTAGAGAGGTAGAGAGATAGCGAGGGAGAGATAGAGAGGTATAGAGATAGAGAGAGGTAGAGGTAGAGGTAGAGGTAGAGGTAGAAAGATAGACACAAAAACTGAACGGGAAACACAACGCGAACAAAAAAAGGTAAATAAAAAATCACAAGAGACGGGAAACGCGAGAAAGGGCCGAGCAGCCGAACAACTCGAACAACTCGGGCACCTGCATCTCCACAAAGAGCCCGGGGACACACACGTTCTTTGTTTTGGCGCTTGCTTGATACGACGGTTACACTGAACATCCAATAAAGCCCATAAACTGCCCAAAAGGGCGTCTGTGCGCCTGGATCCGGCCTGGCCCGCAAGGTCACTTTTAAGTTAAATTAACTTTAACCTTACCCACATCGTGCACGCTACTGTCTAATCTTCTTCCGTTGAACCCTGGCGAATTTATTCTGTGCTATTTGTGAGCTGATTCCTTCTCTCCCTCACGGCCACTTACCTAATTGATCTTGGATGGAACGTCGTGAACCACATCGGTGCGGATTTCGGTTCAGAGGTACGGGTCCAGCAGGCAAAGTCCGCCGTACGCGCATTCAAAGTCGCGCAACGTGACCATTGTCTAGCCGCCCGATGGTCCTCTGGATGGATCGTGAACGACTGGAAGAGGGAAAGGGCAGAAAACAGCAACAAGCGAAATGAAATGAGATGCGGGTTGAAATGAAACTCAAAAAAAGAGGAGGGAGGGGGGAGAGGGGGAGGAACAAAACAAACGACCAAAGGAGGAAGAGGGCAGAAGAAAATAATAAATCAAAATAAACCCGCGGCAATTGGCTCGCATCGTCAGAGGTACTCCAGAGCTCCAGGCCAGCAGTCTGTCGTCCGTATGTGTATACCCCGTCCCCTCCCCGATGCTATGGATATCCTCTGCCAAGTCTCCTCGTTCTTTTCTGTTCCCTCGTCTTGTTCGAAGACGACCCTTGCATGGACAATCTGACATTGAACATTGACAGATCATGATGCGTCTCACTACAGCCTTCAGCTCGTTGCTCCCGTTTCTTTCGCCGTTCCTCGCCCAGCTAGTCTCCGGCCAAGAGTGCAGCGCCACCGTCCACTGCGCGACCGGCTGCTGCAGCCAGTATGGCTTCTGCGGCACCGACGACGCCCACTGCGGCACGGGCTGTCTCAGCACGTGTGACTACAAGCTGGGCTGTGATGCCTCGAATCCGTGTACGGACGGCACCTGCTGCTCCAAGTTTGGATTCTGTGGCCTCGGCCAGGACTGTGCGTCTCTCCCTTTTTCCCTTTTTCCCTTTTCCCTTTTTTTATGTTCTCACATTCCTTTCTGACTTTGTTGTCCTTCTGCAGACTGCTCTCCAGAAAACTGCGTTGCTGGTTGTGATGTGAAAGCAGACTGCGACCCCGGCACATTTGGCGCCGACTATGTGATCTACGAGGAGTGCCCCCTGAACGTGTGCTGCTCCAAGTGGGGGTATTGCGGCACGACGTCCGAGTTTTGCGGCAACCAGACCGTCAGCCGGCCGTCGTGCAGCAGCGGCAACTCGGTCTCGCGGGTCGTCGGCTACTACGAGGGCTGGGCCAGCCGCCGGCCGTGCCAGGCCTTCCAGCCCGAGGACGTGCCCTTGGGCATCTACACACACATCAACTTTGCCTTTGCCAGCATCGACCCCAACACGTTTGCCGTGGTGCCCGCCGACGCCGGTGACGTCGATCTCTACACGCGCATCACCAACCTGAAGAGGCAAGACCAGGCGCTCAAGGTCTACATTGCTATTGGCGGCTGGACGTTCAACGACCCGGGCCCGACGGCGAGGACGTTTCGAATCTGGTCGGGTCAACAGCCAACCAGCAGGCCTTCTTCCAGTCTCTGATATCCTTCATGTATGTTGAGAGCGTGTGGTCCGCCGTGTTTGTTGTATGCCTTTTCTTTCCAAGCTGACGTACAGGTCCACGTACAACTTTGACGGAGTCGACATTGACTGGTAAGTGTCCACAACGTTCGTTCCATCAACGTCATGTCCTACGACCTGCACGGCCTCTGGGACAAGGACAACAAGTGGCTCGGCCCTTCCTCAACGCGCACACCAACTTGACGGAGATCAGCGAGTACCTGGACCTGCTGTGGCGCAACAACATCCCGCCCGCCAAGGTCAACATGGGGCTCGCGTTTTACACGCGCACGTTTGTCGCCAGCGACCCGGGATGCCTGCAGCCGGCGTGCCTGTTTGACGCCGTCGGCAGTCCCGGGCCGTGCACCAACAACGAGGGCACGTTGAGCAACGCCGAGTTGACGGACATGATCCGCAACGCCGGTGCCACGTCCACGCTCGACAGAGACGCCGCCGTGCAGATTGCTGCGGTGGGACGCACGTGGATCACATACGACGACGCGGCGAGCTGGGCGCTCAAGGTTGATTTTGCGCGCGGCGTGTGCCTCGGCGGCGTCATGGTCTGGGCCATCAGCGAGGACTACACCGACGGCACGTACGCGAAGCAGCTGCAGTCTGTGACGCAGTACCGGTCGCCGTCGGTGATTGCGCTGGCCGTGAGCGGCGGCGACCCGGGGTCCACCGTCGATGCGCCGACGGCACGCGTGCTGCGCAACCAGTGCCTGTGGGCCAACTGCGGCCAGAGCTGCCCCGCCGGCTACACGACGGTGCCGCGCAAGGACGACAGCGGCAGCGGCATCATGAACGACGGGTCGCGCTGCCGCGGCGGCCAGCTGCGCACCTTTTGCTGCCCAGCCAACGAGCGCATCCCGGTATGCGGCTGGTTTGACTTTAACAACGGCAAGTGCGGCAAGACGTTCGACTCGGTCTGCCCGGCCGGCAGCGAGCAGATCATCGGCCCCAACTCGGCCGAGGTCGGGTCCACGGGCATTGCCTGCAACAACGGCGGCTTTCAGGTGGCCTGTTGCGAGACCGAGCCGTTTGTGAGCACGGATCTCGGCTACGCGGCCTGCCAGTGGGACGGCGTGCCGCCCGACTGCGACGCCGACCGCGTCGACCCCCCCGCGGCCGTCTGCAGCCAGTTTGACGCACCCTTTACGTTTGGCCTGGTCTCGTCGCCGGCGGGCGATGGCGCCGTCCACTGCAACAACGGCGGCGAGCGCATGTACCGCTGCAACCCGCCCACGGACGAGGCGCAGTGGGTCGGCTGCAGCTGGGTGTTCCCAAGCCGCCTCGACGACGGCTTCTGCGAGGCCTACTGCCCGTCCGGCACGGTGCGTGTCGCCATGAAGGACCCCGAGACCTACTTTGGCTGCACGGGCCAGCAGGGCGGCTGGGCCTACTGCTGCACGCCCGTGTTCCTGTCCGAGGCCGAAAACGACCAGGAGCAGAGCGGTGCATTTGCGGCGGCCTTGGTGGACGTGGTCCAGAACGGCTGCGACTGGGATTTCGGCGGCACGCTGTCTCTGGGGCCATCCACGCCCCTTCAAAAACGAGGCGCCAGCGACTACAACTGCAAGCTGGCGTTTGCTGACATGTACAACATGCTCGGCACCAACGACGTGGATCTGCGCGACACGCTGCAGGACGGCTGGAACGACGGCATGCAGTCCGCCGGGTATACCAACGTGCCGGCCACGCGCATCGCCGCGGTGCCGAGCGGTGTGCAGTTTAGCACCATGGGCAATGCCCTGCAGACGCTCGCTGTGGAAGCCCTGCTGAATGTGATCCCAGACCTCAACGCGGACGTGGACAGAGTACACGATATTGTGACCCTGGTGTGCCCCTGGTGGTGGGTTGTCGACCTGGGACTCCTGGAAGATGTTGACGACGGTGGCGTGGATCTGGGCGAGCCGTATCAGCGGCGGAAGCGGGATGCACCATTGTCAGAGGGTCCAAAAAGCCTGGGGACGGAGAAGACAGAGGTGGCGCAGAAGACGGAAAAGGAGACGCCCAAGGCCAGGCCGGAGGCGAAGCGCAATGTCAACAACGGCGACAGGGAGATTCCGGCATGGTTTCACCTCACCGCCGTTACGGAAAAGTACAATGCGCTCAGGCGCGACTTTGCCGCCTTTGTTGCGCGCTCCAAGGCGAGACTTCGTGCTCTGTCCGGGCCCGGCGCAGATACAAATGCAGATGACGATGCCAGCACAAGCGCCAACGACGCATCCGATCCACCGCCGTCTGCGGCACTGCTCAACCACACGGAGCACCCGTGGCTGCACGACCGCACCCCGGACGCGAACAGGGAGCGCGAGATCGAGATCCTGCGGCGCACGCTTGAGGAGCGCTCGCAGACTGGCTCGCCGCGCTCGTTCCGCGTCACCTCGCAGACACTGAGCAGGGCGCAGTGGATGCCCCCCACTGTCCGGTCTTCGCAGTACCCCAACGGCGATGGCGGCGCCAACCTGCTCATGGCTACGGGCGACACCCATCGCTACAAGATGGTGTCGTTCGGGTGCGGGCCGTCCGACTTCTATCTCAACACATTCGCGGGCGAGATCGACTCGATGTTCTGGGTGTCGGAGCATATCTTGGAGCTGCAGACGGTGCCCCGGTTCCTGACCGCCCTCCTGGATGGCCAGCTGCCCGCTGTGCCATCGATGGACGTGGCGGCGAGTCCATTTGAGAGTGTCGATGCGCACATAGTCTCCCTGTTCACGGAGGTGTTTCCCGGTTGGCAGGCTGTGTCGGGCGAGTTTGTCAGTCCTGCCGACGTGGCTCTCCGGTACTGCGGATCGACGACTTATACAAATGGCATGGTCGTGGCGGACTCGACTCTCAATGCAGTCAAAGGCCGAGTCAGTCTCCCTTCGTATCCCTCCCTTTTGTGTCTCCTCCTACTGACAAACGCAGATTTATGGCTTCAAGCAGCCTGCCTCCGCGGCAACGTGGCTCGCGTGCTGCTCGATGGCCACCCGCGATGCCGCAGAGGAAGCCTTTGGCTACATCCAGTCGACCATGGCCGTTTTCGACTACTACAAGGACTCCAATGTCCAGATGCGCCACGAGGACGTGTACAAAAAAATCAAGACCGTGATGCGGCAATTCGAGGACGCCTTCTTTGTGGAGACTGGCGTCAATATTTTAGGCATAATGCAGGCCAACTGGCAAGTGTACATGAAAAAACACATGGAGCGTGTCCAGCAGTATGCCAGCACCTGGATCGGCTTGCGTCTCGAGGACCTCAGCATCCTGTGGCATGCCCACGCCATAGCCAGCGCCCTCGCAAAGGACGCAATGGGCGTGAATGATGCCGTCATGATATTGTCTCTGATCCAGCTGAACTATGCCAAGCTCAACTACGGCTTCGGGTTGGACTTTAATACGTCCATCTTTAGCTAATTTTTGTTTCTGGCGAGTCCCATGAATCACCGAGTTGAAGATGCTCAGCTTCTTTGCTTAATTTTTATTCTAGCTGGCTTGGACGATAAGTGCACTGTAAGGCGCACCGGCCGTTGCGTATTCAGTTTAGTGGACTTAGTGTATTGTAATTGCCTTGCTGTAGTGATTGAACAATTGTAACAGCCTTTGCTTTATTGTGAATTAAGACTAATATTAATCTTATTTCTACCTAGGCCATAGAGAATCGATCTGCCAAACAAGCATTCTGTATGAAGAAGAGTGGTACTCTGAGAATAGCAGCCCTGCCGACAACTAATATTACGGATTAAAACGGAAAACTGATTTCCCAGAAAATCACGACCCATGGGTCGTCGGACCGTGAAGAGCCCCTAAATACACCGTAATTTCATTGAATAATAAGCGAGATTTGCTGTCCCAATGAGAATGTCAAAAGCGTCCATTCGTATGTGAGGTAACATTGCCCCGCCACGTCCATTTTTCGTTTGTCTTTGTTCTTCACTTCACGCTCTCTGCTCTTCCCTTCCTTTTTTTCAGCTCGTCCTGCTTCTCCCATCTGGCATCTCCTTTCCTTACCTCTGCCTTTGTCCTTTCTCTCTCTCATCACCCCCCTTCCTTTCTTTCCGCCATCTCTGCTTTTCCCGCCGAGCATCTCCATTTCCTTCCCTTTGCCTTTTCACCCTTCTCTATCACCCTCTTTCTCCCTCACCGCCCTCCCTCACGCCCTCCCTCACTCCCCAAATCATGGCTGACCAGCCGTCCGAGACGGACGCCGACGATGTCGAATATGCCATCGACGGCACAGAGCACTCGCGCGACGGCTACGGCAACCTCGTCACCGTCGAAGAGCAGCGCGAGATGCTGGAAGAAGAAGAAAGGCTGCACCGAGCGATGAAGGACATGCGGGCCCAGCGTGAGGCCAGCGTCCGCGCGGCCTTTCCCGTGGCCTTTTCCATCCCGCAAGCCGTCTACACAGCGGCTTCCGAGAACCCGCAGCAGCTGTCCGACGCCGACCGCGCGCGCATTCTCGCGCGCGGCGACGTGCACGCGCGCGCCCTTGTTAGCCCGCGCGACTTGACGCAGGCCGAGCGCTACCGCATCCTCGGCTGGCCGGCCCCGGACGTCGTCGAGCAGCGCATCCGCGCGGCCACGAGGCCCACGGGCACGGAGCTGAGCACGCCGGCCGAGCTGTTCGCCAAGGCCGAGCGCCAGGGCACAGACACGCTGACGCCGATCGAGCGGCATCTGCTGGGCCAAGGATTCCGCGTCGAAGGGTCCGCGTTTGAGGACGACGACTTTAGCGACGAGGAGCAGGAACGGGCGAACAAGAAGGCCAAAAACGTAGCCTCCACGCTGTTCAGCCAGTTCGGGATACCGGGCAACCAGGAGGCATACGCGGCCGCCGGCAAGGAGGAGGGTGTCAATTTGCAGATTGTGGCCGCGGCGCTGATGCAGAGCATAAACGCACACAGTCGCAAGCACGCTGCGAAGTTCGGGCAGCCCATCCCGGCCCTCTGGAAAGCACCAGGGCCGTCGGCACGCTACCCACTGGGCCAGCCACCGGACCAGCCAGCAGAGGCGTCAACGGGACAGCCTGCCGAGGAGCCTGCCGAGAAGCCTGCCAGGAAACCTGCCGAGGAGCAAGAGGACGAGTCTGCCCGGGTGCCGGAGCCTGCCAGGCTGCCCGCTGAGTTCCTTGTTGGTCCCGGTACACCCTTCTTCCGGCGTCAGCTCGAATCCAGCTCCGCCGCCACACAAGCTGGATTCGGCCTGCCTGGCCAGCCTCCTTTTCAACCACCGCAATGGCCCGGCTTTGGTTCTGGTTTGCCCGGTAGTCATGGTCTCACTGGCGCGCCTGGTGGTCTTGGCCTGCCTGGTGCGCCCGGTGGTCTCGGTCTTCCTGGAGCGCCTGGCGCATCAACGACATCAAGTCCAGGTGTACAAGAGGGACAGGCGGCGTCCGATGGCCCCGGGCCAGCTGAGGCCGCAGGTATTCTTGAAGAAATTACCAAGGCTCTCCTGTACATCCACGGCGCGCGCCGGGCAAAGCACATGGGCCGCGACGAATTTGATGACCGCTTCAACAGCATCGTGGCATCGATACACGGGCTCGCGGACCGGTTCAACGCGGCGGCGCCGCCCGCCCCGCCGCATCCATTCGTTCGGGGTCTACCGCGCAGCCAAATTACCCTTCCTCCGCCGCGTCGTGTTTTGGGACCGAACCCGTTTGGGCTGCGCCTGTCGCACGACGGCAACAGCGTCAGCTCTGCCGACCGCAACGTCACGCGCGACAACGAACCGCCACGCTGGAGCACGCAGGTCGCGCCGCGGACGATTTGGAGCGCCACCATCCCGCATCGGATGATGGAGCCCAGCCGGCGCGGTATGGCCATCGATGAATTCATAACGTCCATCCAGACATGGACGGACAAGGAGGAGGCGGCCTGGCGCAACTACCGCGCGGCACGAGCCGCCGCCCGCGGCGTCGGCCAGGAGGCGGAGCCGGAGCTGGAGCCGGAGGCGCAGCCACCGCTCTTTTTCCATACGCCGCCGGGGTGGCCGATGTCGTCGAGCAGCGAGAAACCTCCGTTCATCGTCTACTACGAGTCGGTCCAGGACACCGACGCCGCCAAGGCATGGCCAAGTGGTGCGATCCAGTACGCAAAGCACAAGTGGGACGCCATGACGGACGACGAGAAGGCCGTATACGCAACACTGTGCGAGGACCAACGGCGGCAAGCCTGGATCGAAACGTTTCGATTCCCTCGGCTGTTACGATAGTCATGTGGGCGTGTGGGCTGCGGGAAGCCATCGTTGGATCCATTTTAAGGGTGTTGATGAATCACAGGATGCTGTTGAAAGCGTCGTACTTAATTTGGTTCTTAAAGAGAAAACAGCCCCATATACAACCCGAAAAACCTTGTTGAGAATTTCTTTCTTTGGACGTGCCCCTGTGCTCCCCTGTGCCCCTTTTGCCTCTATGACGGTCCCTGTCTTACCTGGCTTCAACCAGTTGACAGGCACGCTTAACTGCATCTTGCCGAATACCAAGACGCCAGCGGCACGGGCCGCCGGCCGCCGCCTGCTCGCCCTGATATAACCACTGCAATGCGCATACCACATCTACCCCCTTTATCTCCTTAACGGCTACACGGCGCCGTAAAGGGGCCAGGAGGTTCCCATGCGAGCATAACACGGCCTACCTCCCAGCTTTATCAACCGCCTGCTGCCCTTGTCTTTATTGTTTATTTATCTGTTTATTTACCTGGTCATTTACCTGTTTATTCGCCCGTTTTGTTTGCTTGTTTATTTGATTTACTCAGCTGCTTGCCAGTTCCCAGATACCACACACTAGAACATGTAACCTCTTCGGTCTGTGACGGTATTTTTTTTCCCCATGAGGATTCTATGTAGCTGGCTGCCAATAGCCAGGATTGGTTGAGAAAGGCGGATAATAATAATAATAAAGCTATACAGGCGAGTTCACGGTCACTTTTAAAAAGACTAAAGACAGAACAAACAAAACGAAAGCGGAATCAATAGTGGCTGCGGTTGGTTCAATTGTCGCGAACAAAGGGAAGACGCTGCACGTTTTCCGTTTGCAGCTTGTCGCGTTAGTCCCAACGTATTTGAGGTTGTTCTCTTCCATTTTTATTGCATGTTCCTCTGCAACCTCTCGTTTTATTTCTTACATTTTTTTTTCATTTTCCGTTCTTTATCGCTTGTTCTCGTTTATACCGAAGACGCAGAGACGGCATAATAAAAGAAAAAAAAAGTCTGACTTTCTTACTGACGACTGTCGATACCGTAACGAGTTTCAGCAAACAGTGTTCTGCAAACAAACTGCGGACTGAAGATTCCACTTCTTTGCTTCGCCACCTCTCCTCTCTTTGAACCTCTCTGTCGTCTTCTTTTGCAATGGCAGGACCACGGCCCATCTCACTTGGTGACGACAACGCCAACGATCACGACAATTACGACAGCCAGGACAACAGTGCCAGCAACAGGCCACGTCCTGGAGCTGACCGACCTCTCGCAAAGACGATCCGCCAATCTGCGTCGATGCAGACAGAGGCAGCACAGGTGGACGAGCACGAGGCGTGGGCAAACTGGGTCTACCCTCCCGAATTCTACGACAGGCTCTCGAAGATCCATTTGACGCACGGCGCACTTGCGGAGCTCGATCGCCGCAGTCGTTTAACACGACACTCTCCGAAGCATCATCGACCGCACATAGCGACATCTCTCTTTCTACATACGATGCCGAACAAAAAGGATCTTGCCCAGTTCGCCCGACACGGCGGTCCTGATCTTATGGATGTTTGTAATGTAAGTCGATTGTTTCTTTGATATTAACGGTCCCCTCTCTCTACACACCTTTCCCGTCCCTTTCTTTTTTCAGGCCAAGAAGGTATTAACGTAAGAAAAGTATCGAACCCCAAAATTACCTCTAACAGATGCACTCGGCAGAGAGTCGTCTCCTTTACACGGAACTCAGACGACCGACATTCAAACGAAAAAGTCTACGCCGTACGACGCCGATTTCGAGCAGCACTTGAACGATCACGACGTGCTAGCCACCTACGACTCGCAAAAGCCCGCCAACTGGGCCGAGATCCAAGCCGTCCTAAGCCAGCGGCGGCCGTCGCTCTCGTCGTCGCAGTTCTCCGAGGGAGCGTTCGATGCGTTTCAAGACAACAATGACCGCGCCAAGAACGAGAACGCCGTGATGGTCGATGTTATACCGGTTATTTTAGGAAAAAGCGCCCCTTATACGGGCGGTCAGGCGTTAGAACGTAACACTCTTTTCAATAATCTCGCACCACTTACAGATGGCACCATTACGCAGCCTAAGCCCGATATGTATTCTGGTGCCTGTCCTAAGGAGCTCTCCCGTCCCGTACGAGGCGCACTTGGCCACCATATTATGCCGTCGACGATACAGGGTAAGCCCTTGGCACCCAACTTTTTTGTCGAAGTGAAAGGCCCAAATGGAAGTGCAGCTGTGGCCACAAGACAGGTTCGCTACGACGGAGCCATTGGGTCTCGCGCTATCAACAGCCTACAAAAGTATAAAGAAGAGGAACTACAGTACGACGGTCAGGCCTATACATTCAGCTCGACCTACCACGATGGTACTCTTAAGTTGTACGCCCACCACCCTACAGCGCCGAGGAGTGAAGGAGGACGCACGCAGTACCATATCAGTCGAGTCAAGGGATATGCTATAACCAGCGATCGCGAAACATTTATTCGAGGAGTCACGGCATTTAGAAATGCCAGGGACTTGGCCAAGCAACACCGGGATAGCTTTATCCAGGCTGCAAACGAGGCAATGACCAAGGGGGCATCCCGGTCCTCTCGCGTCCTGGAAGACATTGAAGAGTCACAACACGAAAAAGACGAAAGACAAGGGCCAGCGCTCCGCAACGACTCATTGCTTATGCTTACACCCCCCGTTCCATCCAACGGGGGCAGCGCTAGAAAGAAGCAGACAAAGCGGCAGCACCCATCCTCGTCGTCGGCGGTGTCGGTTCGTCTGACGCGAGCTGCTGCAAAGAGACTTTGTTCTTCTCCCAGAGTGTGGCCGGAAAACGATTGAGAAGGAACGAGAGGTGGTTGCGTGCTGCAGTTGGATGGTATCGTCTGGATGAGTTGCTCTTCGGCCCCGGGTTACACTGCGAGAACTCATGGGCGGTTTTCTGTCAAGTTGAAGCTTCAGAATGAAAAAAAGGCACACCAGACAATTTTGACCAGGAGGAGGAACTCCAGAGAGCCTCCAGTGCGGGACCGTACCATATTCATAGACATCTATAGTAGCGTCAAGAACCATAGACGGCCATAGTACCTTACGAGGACTGTACAACACATCCGCACATCCTGGGACTTGTTTGCGGCCTTCTTCTCCAAAGAGCGTTTCCATGTTTTGGGTCCCTCGCTAGTCGATGAGGCCATATGCTTATGCAGGGGACGAAATGAAGTTTTTCGGCACATATAAACATAGAATATAGTCAGCATTGTCACCATTATCACCACCATCACTGCCATGACAATCACCACCATCGCCACCATCACCACCATCACATCTGTAGCCCCCCCTGCAGCGTGTCTGGAAACTGGTCGCCCAGCATCGACGCGGTGCCGTCGTCGTAGACGGAAAAGAAGGGGTCGTTCATGTCGGAAAAGTACGCCTCCATGACGCCGGAGATTCTGGGTGGTGGGGTCAAGTTAGCATAAAATCAAAGACATCAAAGACATCGACTCAAAGACAACAAATCAGGGGTACACCGGGTGTGCACAGATCGACATACAAATTGGTCTGCTGCTGCTGGATGTCGAGGAAAAAGTGGCCCGGCGTGGGCGTCTCGCCCTGGGGACTGAAATGCTGGTCGCCGTTGAGCAGCCCGTTCTCCTCGAGCTGCGCCATGACCTCGAGCACGGCGTGCCCCGTCCAGAAGATCTGCTCCATGCCCTGGAGGATGCGCAGACAGGCGCGCACGTGCTCGGCCTGGGACGGATCGCCGCGGGCGAGCCCGAGCAGGAAGACCTGCAGCACCTCGAGGATGCAGCCGGTGTCGAGCGTGATGAGGCTGCTGAGGAGGCCGGCGTCCTGCATGACGCCGACGACGGCCAGCGACTGCTGCGCGGCCTCGAGGCAGGTGGCGCCAAAGGCCTCGAAGGCGGCGCGCTTGGCGGGCGGCAGCGCGGCCAGCGACGCGCTGTGGAGGGCGCTGTAGAGCAAAAAGGGCCGCGTGGCGAAGATGGTGGCGCTCCAGTAGCGCAGGTGCAGGACGGCGACGGAGCGCTGGTGGAAGGACGCGGCGCGGGCGACGTCGCGCAGATGCGGCGGGATGGCCGCGTACCAGGCGCGCAGGCTGGCCAAGACGTCGCGCACGGCGGCGAGGGACGGTTTGGGAGCGGCGGCGGCGGCGGCCGACGGCGAGGCCGATGACGGCGACGACGATGACGGCAAAAGCTGCGATGGCGACGCCGACGCAGCGGGCGGCGTGGCTGCTGCGACGGCCGGCATGGTCGACGACGACGACGACGATGACGACGACGACGACGACGACTGCCGGTCGTACAGCAGCTTGCACAGCCGTCGCCGGATCTGCGCCAGCGAGCACGACACCGTCAGATAGTCCAGCGGCATGTGCGAGCCCGGCGACAGAATCTGCTCCGACAGATCGTGCACGCGTCCGCCGCTGCCACCCGCCGCCGCTGCTCCTCCTCCTCCTCCTCCACCACCACCCCCGCCGAGGGCATGCTCGTCGCTGATGGCCGGGGGATTGCCGTAGCACAGCGCCACGTCCAGGTCGATCAGGAACAGGGTCGAGTAGAGCCGCAGGTCCACCTGCCGCTGGAGACAGCCCTTGGGCTCGATGGCGCGCTGCAGGTGCAGCCCCAGCGTCAGCGAAATGCGCGCGGCCGCGCCAATGTAGATGTACGCCGTGTTGCTGAACATGCTGCTCTGCAGGGCCAGCGCCAGCAGACACAGGGCGCGCACGCTGTCCGAGTCGGCCTCGTCGCAGAGCGCGCTGACGAGGCCCTTGGCGAGGGCCAAGTAGCGCGCGGCGGGCGGTGGCGGCGCGGTGGCGGCTGACCCTCCACTGCCACTTCCGCCTCCGCCTCCAGCTGCTGCGGTGGCTGTTGACGACGACGCCGCAGACACCTGCGCCTGCTGCGCCTCGCTCTCGCAGGTCAGGGCCAGGATCGAGTAGAGCGAGCACAGCAGGGCCGGCGTGGCGCTCGACGGGTCGCCGCTGTACAACCGGTCGAGCACGGCGTAGAAGCGCTCGGCCGACCAGAACCAGTAGACGGACTGGATGTCGCGGAAGAAGCGCGACACGCAGCGGTTGCAGAGGTCGCGCCGCGGCAGAAAGATCTGCATCCGCGGGCTGCCGCCGGAGCCGGAGCCGGCGCCGGCGCCCGGCACAAACGCATGCACGGCAGCGTTGTAGACGGGCAGGTGTGCGTGCGGCGACGGCACACCGCCGCTGACGCTGACGCCACCCACGCCCACCGAGTCGGGCGTCGACGGCGGCAGCGGCGGCGGCGGCACCGTGAACGGCGGCACTATGTCTGTCTTGGCGCCCACCGCGGCCTTGTCGCCCAGGACGCCGCCGCTGCTGCGGGCCTCGGACCCGCGCCGGTGCCCCAGCGACCGCACGGCCGCGTGGAACCCGTAGCCCGAGTCGGCGCCCACGTGGCGGTACGTGCCGCGCGCGTCCACGCGCAGCCACCCCAGCTCGCCGTGCAGCTCGTCGATCTCGTCAATCGACGCGTCCAGGGCCGCGGCGTCTTCTGTCTTGGCCGCAGCGGTTGACGCCGGCGTCGTCCGGCTGTCGTCGCCCACCACAATCGAGTCGCCCGACGACGCCGAGCCCTCGGACGGCGGCGCCGTCAGCAGCCCCGCGTGGGCCTGTGTCTGCGCCTGCGCCTGCGCCTGTGTCTGCGACTGCATGGGCGTCTGCCCGCTGTACGTGTAGTCGGCCCCCCGAATCGGCTGGCCGGCCTCCAGCGCCTGCACCACCTCCCGCAGCGACTGCAGGTTGAGGTCCACGTTGGGCAGAAAGTGCTCCAGCGCCTTGGTCATGTAGCGGAACTCCTCCTCGGACACGTGGTAGTACGGCCGCTGCCGCCGCCGCGACGGGTCCAGGTGGCACACGGCGCTGATGCTGGCGCAGAATTGGCACGGGCCCGGCACCGGGTCCACGCACTTGGTCTTGCGGCTCTTGCACCGGTCGCAGCTCATGGGCGCGCGCCGTTTGCTGCCGGCCTTGGCCGTGTCCGTGGCGGGGGCCATGTTGGGGATGTCGGGGTGTGGTGTGTGGTGGTTGCAGGGGTGTTGCGGATGGATGTTACGGTGTTGTGGATGGATGGTACGGTGTTGTTGATGTTGAGGATGTTGTCGATGGTGATGTTGTGGATGTTATTGTTCTCCTTGGTGTTGAAGATTGATTATTTTGTGAGGGGCGGAATGAAGATGGGGAAGGGGAATGGGGACGGGAGGACAGGCAAAGGAGGGGAAGGGAAGGGCCAAGGGAACGGGACAAAATAATAATACGAAAAATAAGATGTAGAAATTGGATACTACGCATACAATAATGCACCAATACAATGAACGAACAAAATGCAAAGGAACAAAATGTAAAGGACCAAATTGTGCCAGGCTCGACGACCGGACCTGGATATAGAAGTCGCCGGGAGTCGGATGTCCTGACAAGCTACAGGAGAGCAACTGACGACAGGGACACCCATCTGACAGTCAGACAAGGCCAGTAGAGGGTTTGTTCGGGGATTTCTTGGGATCTGACGGACGACAAGAGGAGCCGATGGACGACATGCCACGAGGCGTTTGCAAAGGCAGACGATCTGACACGAGAAGACATGAAAGCAGGCTATGCCATGAACAAACACAGCCGCCAAGGGTCCAGGGGTCAATAATAGTCCTGTGTGGGAGTCTTCTCTTTGTTTTTTTTTTTTTTTTTTTTTTTTTCCATTACTTTCTCTTCTCGTTTTCTTCGTACTCGTCATCTCTCCACAGAATCCAGAATCCAGAATCCCCGCACGACGTCAACAGAAACGACAGCAAGCCAAGGCAGTCGTAGCCAATGTCTTCCCTGTCCCCTTCCAGTCTCTTTCCAGTCTCTTTCCAGTCTCTTACGTGCCATCCAACAACTGCCGGAATCCAACTCAGTCCAGACTCCACCTCACTTTTACGCGTGCGGGGTTGCACACGCCAATAGTGCTGTCAATCGTCTGTTCGGTTTGTTTGCCCCAACCGACAATGTGACAAAAAGACAGACGCAACGAGCACCAGTCTCAATGGGGAAACGACTGGCTGGGGAAGTGCTCGTCCGACCGTCGATTGCCCTTGATTTGCATCGCAAAAGCAACTGGGGAAAGGGATGTGGGGAAGTCAGGCCAGGGACCCGATCCTTGGGTCAACAATCGTCGCCATTCCAGAATGCCACGCAATCCCTGAATCCCAAGTCAATCCGGCCAACCCCAGTCCGACTAGTGCTGTCTCGGTCAGGGTTGACAAAGACGACCAGGGGAAGGAGACAAAAAGGAAAGGACTGAAGACAGAGACAGAAACAGAAACAGACAGACGACGACCAAGTGACAACACCGAGATATCTCCCTGAATCGGAGAATTCTCCCACTGTTCGTCCGTCTGCCGTGTCTGCGTCTGCCGTCCTCGAGCCTCTTTTGCCGGCCACGCTGTCGTTATTGGTGGATCATGGCCGTCTCTCTTGGCTGTTATCAATGCCTGCGGTCCTGTGTGGCGGGTATTCAAGTTAATTACAAGGATAGCCTCAAAGCAACGTGTCGTAATTTGTTTCTTCAAGGTCCTCAAAGCTGGGATTTGCTGATAATATACCACACGAAAATAGTATATTAGTAGAATAAACAAGCAGTCCTTCTATAACTCTTCATATTCGTTCCCCTCCCTTCGCATAGTCACCTATCACCATGAGGCCGCTTCAGCGTCCAAGTGTATCGTATCTACATGCAAACAAGCGAACTACATGCTACCACAACGTACTGCACCCACCGCCTACGCCTCCGCCGACACAACCGGGGCGGCCGCCGGGACAGCCGCCGTGTCGTTTGCGGCCGCCTGGACCTTGGCCAGGGCGGCGTCAAACTGCTCCTCGGCGTGCTTCTCGGCGTCAAAGCTGTGGATCCACTCGTCGCGCGGGAAGCCGATGCTGGTGGGGTCCTCCTTGACCTTGGCCCAGTCCGTCTTGTGCCACATGTCGCGCGTCGTCTCGCCCGTCTTCTGCACGGCGCCCACGCGGTCGTAGCGCAGCGCCTGGTGCGCGCGGACGGCCGCCGGCACCTGCGCCTTGCCGGCGCGCCGCAGGCACACGGCGAGCGTGACGCCGTCCTCCATGGCCTGCGTGGCGCCCTGCGCGCTGGTCGGCAGGAACGGGTGCGCGGCGTCGCCGAGCAGCAGGATGCGGCCGTGCGTGCTGGTCCACGTGGGCAGCGGGTCGCGGTAGACGAGCTTCCAGTCGACGAGCGACGGCGTCTTCTCGACGATGGCGCGGCACAGCGGGTCCCAGCCCTCGAGCACCTTGTACACGTCCTCGAGCTTGCCCGGGAAGGACCACGACTCCTTGATGTCGTGCTCGTCGCGGTGCGTCAGCACCCAGCAGCAGTCGCTGCCGTTCTTGATGGTGGAGAACAAAAAGTGCACGTCCGGGCCGATCCAGCCGTTGAACGTGTCGCCGTTGGCGCAGAACGCCCTGGTGCGCGGGTCGCGCATCATGTCCGTGTTGGGGAACCACGCGCGCCACACGGCGTAGCCGCTGCTCTTGGGCTTGTCCTCGTAGCCCAGCACCAGCGTGCGCGCCTTGGACCGCACGCCGTCGGCGCCCACGACCACGTCCGCGTACACCCGGCGCCCGCCCTTGACCACGATGCCCGCCTGCGCGCCGTCCTCAAAGTAGTCCTCGACGTAGTGGCCCAGGTGGATGGGGATCTGCAGCTCGTCGCGCGCGTAGTCAAACACAATCTGGTGCAGCTCGCCGCGGTGGCCGTTGAAGACGGGCGCGTCCTCGGCCGGCGGCGGCGACTTTTGGTGGAACACGACCTCGCCCGTGTCGTACTTGTGGATGCGGAAGCCGTACTCGCGCAGGTCGATCGACACGGCCCGCAGGCGCTCGGCCACCGCGCCCGGCGTCGCGCCCCAGCGGTGGAAGATGCGGCCCGCGTTGGACCCGAACGAGATGATGTCGCCCAGCACCTTGAGCGCCGGGAACGACTCGTAAATCTCCACGTCGTGGCCCTGCCGGTGGCACTCGATGGCCGCCGTCAGCCCGCCGAAGCCGGCGCCCACAATCACCACCTTGATGCCCGTCTTTTCTTTGGACATGGTGGGACGTGTGTCGTGTGAGTGGGTGCTGGGGATGTGTTGGGATGTAGACGATGTGTTTTAGTTTGATTGTTTGGTTGACGGTCGATTAATTATTCCAATATCCTATTTTCCTATAATTCGTACTCTCTATTTAATACATACGACGTACTTGGAATGACCTCTCAACCACCCGGATCTACGCGACCGCTTCGACCCGACTGGCACAATGGATGCGGTAAAGTGGGCGTGTCGACACGCGGGTTCAGAGGGGCGTGGGAGACCATCTTCTTCACCCCTGCAGGTGTCGCTGGAGACGGAGAACGGAGGACAATTTGCCGGTTATTGGGGAAAGAGGGGCAGCACTGCTGGACACTCCGGCTGGATGTGCTTCGAGACTATTCTGACTTCTGACTATTCCGACTATTCCGACTATTCTGACTATTCCGACTATTCCTCGAAACGACTGCCTTCCACCATCGACTTGGTTCCCATCTTGCCGTTCGCCGCACCCATCCGTCTGTTGTTTGTAGACGGCGGACCAGTTATTGAAACGCATGGCCTCGAATTTCTCCGTCAATCGCGAGCTTTGTCCGCAGACAGTCCAATATCCTGCCGTCGTCTGTGCAGGACGGCTCCCGGCTCCACGCAGGTGTGCTCTGCACTCATCTTCCACGCATATTGCACGCATGTTTGCACCATGTTTGTCATGCCTTACATGGCCCGTCGCGGCGGACGGCGCTGCAGCCGCCGGCTCTCCGCACTACCCCTCAAACTGGCGACGCTACCACAGACCAGAACCAGAAAACGACATCGGCAACATCTTGCCGAGGACGTGAGACTGCGACATACGACTTACATCCACGCTAGCTGAGACTCGTGATTCGGTCGGGCTTCAACGCAGTCTCAGAATGCATGCGTACGGACTTGCAATTGACCGTGATTCCGCATTCGTCTTGGACCCTCGCCGACTGTTGCACCTACCATTGAATTCAGGAGCACTGAGAGCAGGCCCTTTGCGATTCGAAGAACAGCCTTACCGTGACTGGCATAGCCAACTCCGTGTCCAATGACATTGCGTAAATCGTCTTATAAAGTGAGACATTGCCAATATACATGTGATTCAATATGGTGATGTAAACATTGAATATAAACACGTTACACACTGGTCACCACAACGCACTCATCTCATACACATTCATGGCCACGCACGCAGAGTACGGCGCCAGCACCACGGCCACAGAGGTCGCTGCCGCCTTTGCTGACCAGATCAAGGGAAAGAATGGTGAGGAGTAGACGCCCGTTGTACTGGCGTCTTATTCATCACATTTTCTCACATTGCCTCACATATCCTACCAACATGACATTGGCTAACTCACACCAGTCGTCGTCACCGGCATCAGTCCGGCCAGCATCGGCTACACCACCGTTCTGGCCATTGCCTCGCAGGCGCCGGCGCACGTGGTGCTCGCCTCGCGCACGCAGGCCAAGCTGGACGCCGTCGTCCAGCACGTGCGTGCTGCCCATCCGGGCGTGCCGCTGCACACGGTCCTGCTGGACCTTGCCTCGGTGGAGTCGGTGCGCGCGGCCGCGCAGGCGGTGGCGGGTCTGGTCGACCACGTAGACGTGCTCATCAACAACGCCGGCATCAGCACGCCCGAGCGGCTCGCCAGCACGGCGCCCGACGGCACGCCGGTGGACGGCCAGTTCCTGACCAACCACCTGGGCGTGTTTCTGTGGACGTCGCTGCTGCTGCCGAGCCTGCGGGCGGCTCCGTCGTCGGCGACGTCGCCAGCGCGGGTCGTCAACCTGACCAGCCAGGGCCACCACCTGTCGCCCGTGCGCTTCAGCGACTACGCCTTCACGGCGGGCACCTACAACGTCCCTGCCGACGAGAAGCCCCGCGACGGGCTGCCGCCCTTTTTCCTGCGCGAAATCGACGGCTACCCGGGCTTCTTGGGCTACGGCCAGAGCAAGACGGCCAACATTCTGCACGCGACCGAGCTGGCGCGCCGCTGCCGCCGCCGCGGCGACGCCGTGACCGCCCTGTCCGTGCACCCGGGCACCATCGAGACGGAGCTGTCGCGCTCGCTCGACCCCGAGGGCCAGGCGACCATTGCCAAGACGGCGCCGGCGGGGCTGTGGAAGACGCAGGACCAGGGCGCGGCGACGACGCTCGTGGCCGCCTTTGACCCGGCGCTCGCGCGCGTGGCCGTCGGCGACGCCGGCCAGCCGATTGGCTACCTCAGCGACTGCCAGCTGCGGGACGACGCGGTGGCGGCCCACGCAAAAGGGGCAGAGACGGCGACGCGGCTGTGGACGGCGACGGAGGCGATGCTGCAGCATACCGTGGATTTGTAGGCAGTTGTGTGGACAGATTGCGCAGTTGGGTCGACCAAAGTTAAAGTTTATCAATCTATGGTATACATGAGGCGTATGTTGCTGTCGTCTGGAAGTGGTTCTACTTCGAAATTGAGGTTGATATTGGCAAGTATATACAATGGAGTTATGTGAGTTTCGTACACGCAAAGAAAGGCACAATAAAGAAAACAAACATCATCTACCAAACATTTACATCTCCCCATGCGTTCATAATATCAATCTAGTTTTGCATCTACTCCATAGTCATCATTTCAGACCCCTCCCCTCCTCCCCCCCTACTTCACCTTGACCACCTTGAGCTCGCCGTGCTCGTCAAAGACGGGCTCCTCGGCAATGGCGCGCTTCTGCGCCTGGTAAAAGGTGCTCATGCGGTACTTGCTCTCGCCGTCGAGCGGCTGCAGGTCGACCAGGGCCTGCTGGCCCTCGCGCACGAGCGTCTCGCGGATCGCCTCGGCGCGCGGCACAAAGGTGCAGCGGAACGGCTGCGGGCGCATGTTGAGGCCGTTGGTAAAGGCAAAGATGTCGACCGTGTCCTCGACGCCCGTCTTGGGGTCGCGGTAGGGCGCAATGGTAAAGGCCCAGAGCAGCCGGGCGATGGTGATCCAGACGCCCTGCTCGGCGAGCGCCTGGCCGCTGCAGACGCGGCGGCCCCAGCCAAACGTCATGTAGCCGCGGTCGCCGGGGAAGGGCCGGGCGAGGTCGCTGCCGGCGATAAAGCGCTCGGGCGCGAAGCGGTCCGGGTCGGGGAACTCGCGGGCGTTGTGGTGGATGGCCCAGACGTTGCCCTGGACCCAGGCGCCGGCGGGGATGTGCCAGCCCCTGTACTCGTCGTCCTGCGTGGGCGAGTGCGGCTGGCCGCCGATGATGGCGACGGAGCGCCAGCGCAGCACCTCCTTGACGAGGGCGTTGACGTAGGGCAGGCGGCCGGCGTCGTGGTCGTCCCAGTCGGGCGAGCGCTGGCGGCCGACGACGGCGTCGAGCTCGGCCTGGGCCGTGCGCATGGGCGCCGGGAACGCGCAGCAGGCCAGCACAAAGGTGATGAGCGTCGACGAGGACGTGTCGGAGCCGGCGCCAAACAGGTTGCCCGTCAGGCTCGACAGCTCCTCGGTCGACAGGCCGTACTTGCCGGCCTCGGCCTGCAGGGTCTCGGCAAACGGCGTGGGCGTGCCGGCCTTTTCGTGGTCCGGCTTGGCGGCGCGCTGGGCGACGGCCTCCTCGGCGAGCGTGTGGAAGAAGTAGTGGCCGCCCTTTTGGCCGCGGTTGCCCATGCCGCGGAACCAGGGCGCCCAGCGCGGGAACTTGGCCAGCACCGGAAAGGTCTCGAGCAGCATGGGGAACGACTTGCCCGGCACGTTGAGGTCGGCCGCCAGGTGCATCAGCGCAATGACCTCGGTGATGATGGGGTCGCCGTAGCTGGCCACGCGGCGGCCAAAGGCCAGCACGGACACGACGCTCGTGGCGTAGCGCTCCAGGTGCTTGACGTAGGCGGCCGGCTCGCGCAGGCAGTCGAGCGCCACCACCTTGCTCTCGTTGTTCTGCACGTCGCGGTACCGCCGCACCGCCTGGATGCCGACGCCCAGGTGCATCAGCTTGCGGTGCACGCGCCAGTGCTCGCGCTCCGCGCTGTTGCGGATCCGCATCGTCACCAGGTTCGACTGCCCCGTGCCCAGCTCGCCGAACACGACCATGCGCGGCCGCGACGCGTAGATCTGCGCCTTCTTCTCCAAAATCTCGTGCGCGCACCACGCGTCGTTGATCCACACCGTCGGGTTGCGCCCGATCCAAAAGGTAATGAGCGGCGCCTGGTAGCGCTCCGACAGCGCCTCAAAGTAGATCCACGGCTTGTTCTCGGGCAGCAGGAACGTGTTGCCCACAATCGGCAGCGGAAACGGCCCCGGCGGCATGCGCGCCCGCAGGTACAGCATGCGCGCATAGTCGGCGACGAGCACCGCCACGGCCACCGACACGGCGGCCAGCAGCACGTTGGCGATGCCGACGTCGACTAGCATCTGCTGCAGCCGCACCAGCGACAGCTGCGGCGCAAACGCATCGACAATCATGGTCCGGCTGGGTGTGTTGAATTTGTTGGGTGTATTGGCGTGTTGGGTGTGAAGTAGGTGGTATAGATGGTGTCGGTCGATAAATGTTGCACAGGCAGCGTTGCGGCGTGAAGCGTCGATAGTGTTAGAAAAATGGAGGGTGACTGGAAACGGGGCATAAATCAGAGGAATATGGATGGCGGTCGGACGTGCGGGAGGAAGTCTCTCCGTGGGGATGGCGGCAGTCCGGCAAACCAAGAAACGGCAGACGCCGCCAAATCCGTGGACAAGTCTTACAAGGAGAAGAACAACAGTACGATGCAGCCAGACGGGTTCTCCGAATAGCGAGGATGCTCCGTGTACGGGGCAAGGAAAGAGTGAAGGAGAAGAGTGTGAGGTGGAGGGAAAGAAACGAGTTCACGACCTGGAGATAGGCGGTAGGCAAGATGGAGGCGTGGACCGGATACGGATGAGGTCAATCGGGTCTTTGATATTTTGTCATCATTTTAGCTTCAGTCTCTCCACTTGCTAGTTGAGCTCCGCAGACGACGGCAGACGGCAGACGGCAGACGGCGGCAGACGGGGCAGTCGTACTGCAGCTGGTATAGGCATAGCAGGGTTGGCCATGAGGGTGTCTTGATTGCACTGAGTTTTCTCTTCGTTTTGTTTTATTTTGGTTTACTCTCTTTTCTTTTCTTCTCCTCCACACTTTCACGTCAGTTGACGTGCCGTGCGGCTGTGGTACTACATCGGCTTGATAACTGTAGGGATTGACAACAGAGTATTCCTGGCCATGTCCTTTCGTATTTCCTTTCTTTCCTTTCTTCAATATCCTGTTCTCATCCTGTTCTCGTCCTAGTCGTTTCTCACGACCAAGTCCAAACCAACCCGAACCAGCATCCCCTCAACTCCGGTCTTCACTCCTCACTCGTCACTGCTTTCCAACGGTACATGCACTTTGTTTGGTGGACGGAACGACTGCGTTCGGGAAAATAGTGCCGACTGGGCCAAGCGAGGCGGTCTGACAGGGACGCAGATGAGCTGCACAGGGACAAGGCGCTAGAGGATAAGTTGGACAGAACACTCTTACAGTCATGGCTGCCACGAGTCATTTAGCTGGCGAACGACAACCACTCCATTTGGGCAAGGAGACTGCACCGTTGGCGAAAGAATTCAAGGAGGGTGGTTCGAAGGCTTGAAGACTGTGGGGAAGCCTAGATGAGGGGAACCGCTGAAAAGCGAGAATAGGACGCCACGACTGACGCCTAGTTGGACCCGGCAGACGCGGTGCAGAGTCTAGCAACAACAGGCACAATGGACGGCGAGTTGAGCGCCTGGGCTGTCGCTGTTGGCCTTTTTATCTCTTGGTCTCTTGGTCTTTTGGCCTTTTGATCTCTCGGTCTCATGGTCTCTTGATCACTTCCTCCACAACGCGGATGCGTCCGAGGACACATGGCGCGGCTCCACTTGCACATTCGGATTCGGTCCAAAAGTGTCTCCACTTCCCCAACCTCAGCCCTCGTCTTCTCTTGTCGTCTCTCGGCGAGTCGACGTCTGCTCTTTGTCTGGGGAACTGGACGCGATCGGCTCCACTTGGCCGCTGGTCGACTGGACTGGGTAGACTGGGGCCCCCTTGAGTGGACACTGCGGAGTCGTTTGGCTCTGGTCATACGCGTCTGCCCCCGAACCCCTCATCCTGTGTCGTCGATTTTCATCGGCAATTGTCCGTGTGGAAGACCGTCACGAGAGTGTATTTTGGCATCGGAAGTGGACATGAAGATGGAGAGACGGTGGACCACGGGGAAAGTGAGAACGAACAGAAAGGAGCAAAACGAACAGCACGGATCCAATCGAGAAAACGAAACCTGGTTACGAAAAGGGAGGTGGAGAACGCAGGATACGTTCATGCAGCTGCGTCGAGCATTGAGCAGAGTTGGATGTCAATACAGAGCATCCAGAAGTCTCCAGGCGTTGCTACGATGTATTGCGTCCTGAAAACCACACGCCAGCCTGCACAACCCCCAAGACTTCCAAGACTTTCAAGACTGCCCCTTTCCTGATTGGGGCCGCACGGGCTTCAGCTCCTAAATCATAGAAACAGCTCCGAAATAGCTCATATACAGGCCAGCAAGGCCCAGCCACTGAATGCAGTCAAGTCCACGCAGAGCACGGCGCCTGCTGTGAGCTGTGCTTTGCATTGTCAATCTTACAGTCGCCGTCTTCTCGTCTTCTTCCCGTCTTCTCCCCGTCTTCGTCGCCTTCCCAATCTCCCACTTTCTCCGCATTCCTTTTGCCCTAATATTAATATAGCTCTCATATCAACAGACGGCTGTAGGCTCTACTGTCTATTGATGTTCGACGTCGCGAACCTTTCAAATTGCCTTGTGCTGTGCCTCTCTTTATCCCCGTCACATTGTAAAATACGTTAATTGTATCCCATCTCCAGCACGCCGTAGCATCTGCGCTGTCATACGTTTGTCATGCAGCTGTTGTGCAGCTGTTGTGCAGCGCCCACTTGCCCGATCTGCGGACGGAAGCACAGCAAAGCAAGTCAATTGTAAAGGAAACCAAATAAAGAAACTCCACCTTAACCCAAGACACAAGACACGGCTCGCAGTGTCACCTGCTGTCGTTGCATTGGTGTGTTGTCTCCGCGACTTTCGACTGTCGACTTTCTGTCTGTGACTCTAGTCTCTCTTGTCTGTCTTCTTTCTGTCTGTTTCCTTTCTCTCTCCTCGTACCTCGTCGCACGTCTTCCCCTCTCGCCTGCCGTCCGCCTCCGCATGCCAATATTGACAAAAGCTAGGAAGAATTGAGGCGACAAACCACCGCACCCCAACCCATCCCAACCCCCCAACTCTGGTGCCTTGCATCCGGACGACGCGCGCCCGTCGGCATCGAGGAGCTGTTCCAGAGCCACGCCCTTTGTCTACGTTCGTCGGTCTCGCCCACTCTCCCCTCGTCTAGCGTCCATCCCCAGATTGTCGCGAAGCGATAGACTCCAGACATTAGACTCCCAACTCTATCCCCAGACCAGGTCCACCTTCCCCAGAATCCAATCCCACGCTGCCTTCAATTTGTGGCCCCATTCCTCCTGCGCCAGCCTCCCTTGACCCTCGCCTCGATCAATATTCCGTTTTCTCGTCTCTCGTCCGTGCACAATACTGTTGCATCCGTACCCTTACTCATAGCAACCATACGCAACCATACCAACCATACTCTGCCACAGCTGGTTCTGGCTGCAGCTGCGGTCCACGGAAAAGCGAACAAGGGCTCATAAAAGGACCTCGACCCCGTTGATCTTTTCCACTTATTTCCCGGCCGCTCCCACTTCATTTCACCTTCTCCCTTGCCGTTATTGTTCCATTGTTCTTCTCTGCAGTTCTTTTCTATTTTTGCTTCTTCTGCCCATCATCTCCCTTTATCTCGACACTGTGTTTACTTTGCCCCAGGGATAAATCATAATCATCACCTCCGCCTTCACCCATCAATCCACCCTTTATCGCCATCCGCCGCAAGCACCACCTTCTCCACCACCACACCTCCACACCTCCACACCTCCACCGCCCACCATGGGCTCCCAGAAAGACGTCTCGGTCGCCGAGAACGAGCACCAGGGGGATGTGCCATCCACCGCCTCCGTCTCCATCCCCTCCACGGGCGCGCCGTCCCACAATGTCCACAACGAGGCCGCGGCCGGCGTCGGCGCCCTCAACGAGTCCGCCATCGTCCACGCCGTCGAGGACACCACGGGCCTCGCCGACCACTGGAAGTGCCTGGCCGCGTGCACGCTCATGTCCATGTGCCCGTTCCAGTACGGCGTCGACTTTGGCCTCATCAGCGGCCTGCAGGCCATGCCGGGCTTCCTCAAGGTCTTTGGCTACGAGATCCCCAGCCCGGACCCGGCGGCCCCGCCCATGTACGGCCTCCAGACGGAGCGCCAGCAGCTCATCTCGTCGCTCATGATCCTGGGCGCCTTTGTCAGCTCGGGCCTCGCCGGCCCCACGGCGGCGTACCTGAGCCGCCGCATGTGCATCTGGGCGGCCATTGTGCTCTGCATCGTCGCCAACGTCGTCATGATGACGGCCACCAACATCGGCGCCATGTACGCCGGCCGGCTGCTGATCGGCCTCGCCAACGGCATGTTCATGACCTACTCGCAGCTGTACATCCAGGAGTGCGCCCCGGCCAAGTACCGCGGCATGATGATCTCGGCCTTCCAGATCTGGACCTCCGTCGGCACCCTCATCGGCACCGTCATCGACAACTTCACCGCCCCGATCCTGGGCAAGAACTCGTACATCATCCCGCTCGCCATCATCTTTGTCATCCCCGGCCTGCTCTTCTTTGCCCTCTTCTTCATCCCCGAGTCGCCCCGCTGGCTCATGGACCAGGGCAAGTACGAGCAGGCCCGCGTCGCCCTGCGCTGGCTGCGGCCGTACAGCGACGACGTCGTCGAGGCCGAGGCCACGGAGATCCAGGACGGCCTCGAGTCCGAAAAGGCCCTCCACGCCAGCGTCCGCCTCCTCGACCTCGTGCGCGACCCCGTCGACCGCCGCCGCACCCTCATCGCCGTCGGCGCCCTGAGCACCCAGGGCGCCTCCGGCGCCATGTACATGATTGCCTACGGCACCTACTTCTTTGCCGAGGCCGGCATCGACGCGCCCTTCCAGAACTCGTGCATCCTGACCGGCGTCGGCGTCTTTGTCATCATGGTCAACTCGGCCGTCATCACCCGCATCGGCCGCCGCCGCGTCTTTCTGACCACCGGCCTGACCATCTGCGGCTTCGCCCAGCTCTTCACCGCCATCATCTACACCGTCAAGCCCGGCTCGCAGACCGCCGGCAAGGGCATCGTCGCCTTCAGCGTCATCTACATTGTCGGCTACAACGGCCTCGTCGCGTCCTACGCCTGGCTGTCGGGCGGCGAGCTGCCCTCGCAGCGCCTGCGTTCGCTGACCTTTGGCGTCGCCACGGCCATGGGCTTCTTCCTGGCCTGGCTGGCCACCTTCACGGCCCCCTACTTTATCAACCCGACCTCGCTCAACTGGGGTCCCAAGTACGGCTACATCTGGTTCCCGTCGTGCCTCATTGCTGCGTGAGTCCCCTCCCCTTGTGCATAATCGTTTTTTTCGGTTGACTAACCACGTCCAGTGCTTGGATCTTCTTCTTCCTGCCCGAGGTCAAGGGCCGTACGCTCGAAGAGATTGACGAAATGGTAGGCCTTGTTTGTTTTCTGGTCTTTTGTTCCTATCTTGCGTTGCCCTCACTAACAACACAGTTCATGGCCAAACTGCCCGCCCGCAAGTTCCGCCACTACCAGTGCGTCGGCCACCAGGTCAATGCCACAAAGGCCGGCGAAAAGACCGAGGCCGAGCAATACGCTTAGTCGACACGGAGGTTGACGAAGAGGTCGACGCCGCGACAAGGCCGTCTCCCACTTTCACAAGTCGTACTTCATTTTGTCCTTGCTATCGTCTGATGTTTCTGTTATACTATGTAAAATACCCAGGCCAGCGTATGGGGACCATACGTGGTTCGGATTTTCGCATAAAAGGTGCTCGCTGTTTTTGTTTTCTCTTTTTTTTCTTTCTGTCCTTTCCTGATTGCGTTGCTTTCCATGTAAGATACCCAGGCCAGCGTATGGGGACCATACGTGGTCCGGATTTCCTGCAGGCTATGTTTATTTGTTTCTCCTTGCTTTGTTTCGTTCTCTTCCTCTTTTCGTTCACCCTTTAATTAGTACTCTTTCATCCGTGTCCATCATAAACACACGATGCACAGAAATACAAACAGAGGCTCTCGGGTCTACATTTGCATGCCAGACTGCCACACAAAAAAGAACACAAAATAAACATGCACAATACTACAAAACTACCCCAACATGACAAATGACAAACTGCCCAAACAAAAACGCGCACTACTTGTAGTTCCACATTGCACAAACCACACAGAGGACGACTACACGACCAGACGACGTACTCCAAAAGGACAGTCCACTGCCATCCCTCCTACGGTCACCTCCTCGAGGCGCGTAGTCGTGCTCCGTGATTCCCTGGCGGCCAGCCCATCAGCGTCCAGGAACCACGAGATGGTGTGCCTCAGCGGGTACCTGACCAGGGCCATGGCCAGTGATTGGTTGCGCCTCCCCCCGACAACAGCCAATCCCCGTTGCCGGCCGCCACTAGCCGCAATCCCAACTTACACCAAGGACGCCAGCAACAGCCAACGAGTGGCCGTGAACGGCCGCCACAGAGCGCAAAGCGCGTCTACAGGACGGCGCAGCCAACGACATCAAAAGACGTCAACGACAATCAAATCAGATCAGCCTCCTTCCCATTCCTCAATGGGCGTGCCAATTCCAATATTGTGAGATCCTGCTGTGAAGATGGAGGCTGAGAGGGTGTGGAGAGGCCCGTTGTGCGGCCGTTCCTCTTCGACGGTGCTGGATATGGAAACAACTAAATAAATCTCCATTCTAGAATAGATGTTCTTTTCCACCTCGTGAATCAAAGGTCCGGGCATTCCCTCTGCACACCTCCATACAGAGTTGCAATCTGTGGGTAGTGTGTCGATCCTGGGTGCTCGTCTTTTTGGCCGGCCCTGGTCCTAGTGGTGTCAGTGGCTGCGTGCGTCTTTCTGTGACGATTCTGACCGTCATGGTTGCATACTCGCTCTTTTCGTTATCTTATTTTCTTCACTGTGATACCAGCCCGGCACTGCCGGTTGCCATTCCCTGTTTATTTGCCCCTCGCACCTCTCCTGTTTATCTCAACGCTTGTCAACTCTTGTCAGCTCTTGTCTTATATCCTCCTTCCTCTCTCTTTCACTCTTATTTTCTCTTTTGATCTTCACTCTTCACTCCCCGTCGCCATTTCTTTCTCGTCTCCCCCCCACAGACCTCCAATGTCGTCGTCTCCCCCTCGACAACCACCATGATGCAGCCCGGCCCCGCCCTCGCCTTCGCCACGTGGGTCATGGCCGTCCTGTGCCTCGCCCTCGTCGCCCTCCGCCTCTACACCCGCGTCCACCTCGTCCGCTTTGTCGGCGCCGAAGACTACCTGTTTGCCGCCACCGGCGTCTTCTTCTTGGTCTTCAGCTGCGCCATCCAGGCCGCCGTCCGCTTCGGCCTCGGCCAGAGCTTTTGGAGCCTGAGCCTGCAGCAGTCGTCCGACGCCATCCTGTGGACCTACATCGCCAACACCTTTGCCATTACCGGCAACGCCATGGCCAAGCTCACCACCGGCCTCTTTCTGCTCCGGGTGGTGCAGCTGCGCTGGCACAAAGTCGCCCTCTGGTGCCTCGTGGGCGTGACCGCGAGCACGTCCGCGGCCCTCACCATTATGCTCTGGAACCAGTCGACGCCCGTCAAGATGAGCTGGGACCCGTTCCGCACGCCGGGCCACTGGAACCTGCAGATCCAGCCGATGAGCGTCGGCCTCGGCGTGTGGTCGAGCGCCTGCGACTTTTTTTTTGCCGCGTTCCCCTGGCTCTTCATCTGGTCGCTGCGCATGCAGCGGCGGGAGAAGATTATGCTCGCCAGCAGCATGAGTTTGGGTGTCATGTGAGTTTTCGTACTTCTGTCCCTTTTGTTTTATTGTTTCGTTATGAACAATCGCCACTAACGGTACAGCGCCGGTATCTGTGGCATCATCCGGACCGTCGTCCTGGCCCGTCTCAACGTGTTGAACTACACCTGTATGTCCCCCCACAATCGTCGTCGTCATCGACATCCACCGTCTCGATCGCTCCTACTCACACAACCAAGTAACATTCGTGACGTACTTTGCGTGGGCCGGCGCCGAGATTGCCGTGTCCATGGTCTGTCTCGCCATCCCCACGCTGCGGCCGCTGTACCTCCGCCACCGCGGACTGGCCGTCACCAGCACGCATCCGCGCCACCCGGCCGACGACGTCCTGCCGCAGTTTACCATGTGCGGGCCAACGCCGGGCGCCGGCGTGACGGCGCCGACCCAAGGTCCGCCAAAGTATGCCGACATCGACCTCGAGTCGGGTCCTTCGTCCATCGACAGCACGCCACGAAGCACACCGGGAAGCACACCGGGAAGCACACCCGACAGCGTCCAGGACGAAAAGTTTGACAGCGTGCCGGAGGTGGAGACGCTTCCGTCGCGGCTTCCCAAGGCCTACTTGAGTCGGGGGCAAGACAGCGTCGACGAGATCTTGGGTTTGTACGGCCAGAATTATGCGCATGGCCAGGGCCAAAAGCACGGCCAGATTTGGATCAAGAGTGAGGTCTCGGTGCAAGAAACGGCCGCAACAAATTGGCCATTGAAAAAGTAGGCTTGCAAAGAAGTTGAAGGAACTAGACAGCATCGCAAGATGAGATGTGGGCATGCCATGATTTACGATACCATTAGCGATGATAATTGATCTGATTGTTTTGAATTATTTTCTAAAGACACATTTTAATTTTAATTTGCGTTGTATTTGTCATTATTTTCAGTTTGTAATTTTGAAAATGACAGACATAGAGTGACGACAGAAAAAAATAAACACAATTAAAAAAAAAAAAAAAAGGTAAATGGCAATTGTAACCCAAAAAAGAACATCAGACATATTTCACACTATTCAAAAAATCAAAAAAAACGATCCAGGCAGGGATCGAACCTGCAATCTCTTGGTTCGTAGCCAAGCGCCTTGCCATTTGGCCACTGGACCTGTCCGCTGGACAAGTTTGCCCGTGGTCTGGTATATAAGCAGGAGATCGGGGTTAACGTGGTGCCACGCCAGCTTCTTCAGTCACACGCATGTTTTATTTCTATCCGTCTGTATATATGATGTCCAGTGTTTCCAAGTCGTTATTCCGTCAATCGTAAATCATAAGTGTGGTCGACGTAGTCGACGTTGTGGTTCGCGTCCCCCCCAAACCGTCGACGTGCCCAGCTTCGCTGGCTTGCCCTCTCATCGCCGTCACTCATACAAGTGCAGCTGCCCCCGACTCCTCGGGAAGGCCGCGCGCTGCGTCCCCGCCACCAGCCGCTGCAGCTCGGCCGCGCTCGCCAGCTCCCAGCGCTGCATCGTCTTGCCGTCGCGCCACACGACGGCGCGCAGACCGCCCAGGTACTTTTCCATGGCGCGCGAGGGCAGGTCGTCCGACACGCTGACGACGAGGACGGCAATGGCGCGGCGCTGGTAGAGGGCCAGGCGCTTTTCGCGGACCAAGAAGCGCTCCATGAGGCGCGCGTTTTCAAAGGACCAGGCGTTGAGGGCAAAGGGGAGGCTGGCGGTGTCGCGGTAGAGCTGGCGGCAGACGGCGGCGAGCGGCGTCAGGGCGTCGGGGAGAGCGGTGACGCGTGCCCGCGGCGTTGCCTTTTTGGTGTCTGCCGTCGTGGTGGTGGTGGTGGTGGTGGTGGCCCGCCATGCGTCCTGGTCGACGCCGAGGGCGACGGCGTAGAAACCAGAGTGGCTGTGGGCATTGGCGTTGGCTTTGTTGTCACCGCCTTTTGTCGTCCGCATCCTCCATGGCCGGTAGCGCACATGGATCTGGCCGACGGTGAGGACGAGGGCGTAGATGCGGTTGCGGATCTCGGGCGGCAACCGCAGGAAAGGGGATTCGAGGGCGTTTCGGTGCCAGCTAAACAAGACGGGAGTGTCAACAACATGTCGCATCTTCAGACGGAACGGGGCACAGCGACGATGCACGTGGACTTGCATTTCACATTCTAGCGAGTCGGACGCCGGCTCGCACGGGACGGTGGCATGTTTGCGTCGCCGTTTCTCGTGATGGCTGTGCATGTTGGGGTGTGGTTGAAGAGGAGGAAGAGAAACCCCTGAAGACGTGATGCATGGAAACAGTAATTACTCCATACAGAATGCTGATTCGACAAAGCTGCTAGGACCACAGCGGCTGACCTGGCAGGCATCCGTTACGGGAACAGCCGCTGAAAACCCCTATTGCTTCCGCTAGCGTACAGGGCCTGCACGCCCGGTAGTCATGCCAGTGTCGTTCCCTGGAGTGCGTGCTGCGTTCGTCATGGCCAGCGACGAGGCTGTGACCGAAACAGACGGAGGAAACGACTGTTGACAGTTTGGGTGTGACTGTTGGCTTTTCTGCCATAATTCAGCAGAGCTCCAATCCGGAGACCCTCGAGGCTTGAAGACATGGTCCTTTAAAATTGAAAAGGGTTTTTGCATATGACAGTAGCTGTAGCTGTGCAGATGTCGGTGCGCAGGCCACCAAAATTTGGGTGCCATAAACGTGTCAAACACAGACAGGGCTGTCAGCCTCGCCAGATTCAAGACTACTTTACGTTTGCATGTGGTCAATGTCGTGGGTCTGGGTCGCTGTCCAGGCAGCACGGCGAATCGTGCACATCTGGTATTCTCCAGAACCAACACTTGACCGTCAATCTGGCTTCATCGCCAAGCTCAGCAATTTGTCGACAAAAGCGGCTGGCATAGTTTGCAACCACCTAAACACACACCATCTCGTACAACGTGGTCACTCAAGCACTCCAACATGTCCGTCGCCCAGGTCGTCAGAGCTCCTGATCGGCCCGCGTTGCAGCACATCACCCGCCTCTTCCTCGCCGGCACAACGCCCGTCAAAAGCCTTGGCCATGGGGACCCAAACCCCGTCGTCGACTGGCGAAGTCTCGTCTGCTCGGCTGTCGGCAACCTGCCCGTGACCGTCTTCGATCCGCTGCGCCCGGACTGGGACGCCTCCTGGACCGAAGACGCCGACTTCTCGCCTTTTCGCCAGCAGGTCGACTGGGAGCTCGAGATGCAGGAGCAGTCGACTCTGACCGCCTTCTTCTTCGACCCAGGACGCGACGGATCCGTCAGTCTGCTGGAGCTGGGTCTCTGTGCCGGACGAGCCGCCGCGAGCGCCATTGTTGGCTGTCCGCCGGGATACACGAAACGCGGCAATGTGCAGATGGTGTGTGCCCGCTACGGCATTCCGCTGGTCGATTCCGCCGAGGCGTTGGCCGATGCGGTCCGGGCGCACCTCGTTCGGGGGAGAAGACGTCAGGCAGAAGACGCAGACACAGGCACACAGACAGGGTCAGAAACGACATGATCACCCAAACGACGAGTGACGCAAATGTGGCAGGACTCGTGCCGAGAGCCCCAGCGCGAGGTGCCCGGCAAAGACCCCAAAACAGGCACTGACTGGATCGTCGTGGGCCTGAAGGCAACCGTTCACCCACTGGCCTTTGGCAGGCGACAGCGACAATAGCGGCGCACTCCACTAATGGAACATAGAAACACCAGCTCAGCCTGCTGGACAGCCTCAGCCTTCTTTTTGCCTGTCAAGGCCCGCTAACAGTACACGCGAACCCACTTGCGTCGCTACCGCCACCAACACCGCCCAGCCCCGCCTGCCCAAGTGGCCCAAGTGACCCAAAAATCACATCCTGCCCTGCCCATTCTGTCTCTCTCGAGACTCGACTCCCAACTTTGACGACATCCCTCGAGCAACACAATCCACATCTGACCACGACGACCACACCATAGTCTTACAAGGCTGCACACCACATACCCAATCAACATTACCAACATAATATCACGAGCAAATATCTATATTAACAGCACACCGATTAGACGACCACAACCACCGCTGTCCGCAGTCGCATTTCGTTGCGATCCTCCGTTTCGTTGCCCCCGTCTGCTCTCAACTGCGTCTGCCTCCCTCCCGCCTCCAACCCCAACCCGACAGGATGGACGAACAGTTCGGCGGTCGAACCGACGACGACCTGTTTGCAGACGATTTTGAGCCCGTCCAGCCCGTCCAGCCACTGTCGCAGGCGGTTCCCCCGCCGGTGCCATCCGCGGCCGCTGCGACGGAACCTGTCGCTCCATCCTCAGCAATACCCTTGACCGCAGCCTCGAGTACTCCCAAAGTCACGGCGAAGAACAGCGGCAATGGCGGTCATGGAGGTGCAGATACACCCAATGGCGCTGGTGGAAACGGCGCGCGACGCAACCGCGACCGCAAATCCAAAGGCAACGGTGGCGGCAATACGAACGGCATCCAAAACCAAAGCCAACACCAAAGCCAAAATCATAACCAAAACCACAACCATAGCAATGGCCACGGCAAGACGGGCGGCGCACAGAAAGCGCAGGGAGTCATCGCTGCCGCGCCGGCTGCTGGTAACTCGACGGCCGCCACGCCGGCCACGAATACGCCCGAGCCAGCCAAGTCCGCTGTGCCGCCGCCCTCTCTTGCCCAGTCACGGCACAACCGACCACCAACGCCGCCAGCAACAGAAACACAAGTAGCAACACCCGCAGCAGCATCAGCATCTGCCACGACCAGCACCCCTGCGTCAACTGCCGCTCCCGCACAACAACCCAAGCCAAAACGGGGTGACAAGAACCGGAGAGCTGGAGGCAATGGCAATGCTCAAGGGAAGGACAAGGGCAAAGACGTACAAGGCAAGGCATCGCCGGCACCAGCGAAGAATGGACAGCAGCAGCCGCAATCTGGCGAGCCACAGCCAAACCAAAAGCAACACGACAAGCCACACCCGAGGCAGAAGCAAGGGAAGCAGCCGCAGCCGCAGCAGCAGCAGCAGCAGCAGCAGCAGCAGCAGAAGCAGAAGCAGACACAAACAGCCAATACGAATGCAGGTACCGCCAAGAACGACAGCCGCGCAGGAACGCCCGCTGCTGGTACGGGAGCACCGGCGACCGGAACCAAGACGACGAGCATCTTTACCATCAAAGGCGCAGCCGCCGCCGAAGCTGCAGCCAAAGCGGCCAACGCGGCCAACCACACCGCCAATGGCACCACATCCACCCCGCCCCCTCCTGCCCCCAACACGCGCACGCAGTCCGGCGCCAACCCCCGCCAGAAACTCACCGAAGCCGAGCTCGACTCCAAGCTGAGCGCCATGCGCCTGGCCTCCCAGGAAAAGACGCGCCGCTTCGAACAGGCCCAGCGCGACGAGCGCGACCACGACCTCGCGGTGGCCAAGGGCCGCGAGGAGGCCCGCCGCCGCAAGCAGCTCGAGGACGAGAAGCGCCGGCGCAGCGAAGAAGACCGCAAGCGCCAGGACGACGAGCGCGCGCGCAACCGCGACCGCAAACTAAAGGCCATGGGCGTCAAGGAGGGCAACTGGGACGAGGGCAAAGACGGCAGCACCAAGAACAACAACAGCAACAACAACAGCAACAACAACAACAGTGATCCGTCCCATGCGGGCAGCAAGGGCGCGCGGTATGCCGGCCTCTTGCCCATGCCCAATGCGTCGGCGGTCACGGCCAAACCAGAGCCGTCGCCGACGAACGGGGGCGGACATGGCGGTGGACAAGGTGGTGGTCGTGGCCGGAGTGGACGGGGCCGGGGTGGACGCGGTGAACGGGGTGGCGGGCGTCGCAGCGGTGGCGGCGGCAACCACAACGGCCGCATTCAATTCAACGATGCCGGCAGCATTGGCGCCGACATTGCCGAGTGGGTCCATGGCACCGCCGAGCCGTCCAGCATGGCCCCGCCGCCCAGTCCCGGGCCCAGCGACAGCGTGTTTCCGTCCTTGCCCGGCGCAAACGTGGCGGATGGGGCGGCACCGCCGGCGGCGGCGTCTGTTGCTGTTGCTGCTGCTGCTGCTGTTGCTGCACGCCCTGCCGGGAAGGCGGAGAAGACGTATGCCGAACGGGCTGCCGAGAGCGTTGCCAAGCCCGCAGAGGCCGCGCAGACGGAGACGCCCGACACCGCCGACGGGAAGAAGAAGCTCAACTTCCCGCCCCTGCCCAGTCTGCAGCCTCTCTCGCCCGCCATTGGCACCTGGGACGAAGAGGTCGAAGAGGCCATTGGCAACGGCACTGTCTAGTGGTAGTGCGCGGTAATGAAGGAGTGGGACGGTAGGCTGTTATTCAGTTGCCTTTGATTTATGCGTTCGCGTTTGTTTTATTACCGAATTGGGTTCCCTGTTTGGATTGCTTGGATTGCTTCGATTACTTTGTGGATTGCCTGCATGGAGTACCTCTCTTGGATATTGTTATGTAGTATTTTTACCTCTCTCATCGGCAGTTTGGATACCTCAGTTTGGACAGTATGGGCTCTGTATACCCCTGGCCCTTGAAATACGCAAAAAGAGAAAGCACACGCAGCCTTGATAATAGACACTGTAATGTTGGTGAAAAACAATTCGTACTGTAAGACGCCAGCCCAAGTTACGTAAAAACGCCAAACCAACCATGTACCCCGTTTTTGTACAAAAATTACAAAGGACAATCGAGTGAAACAAATCAACAGAAACGGCGACAGACCTCACCACCTCGGCCGGTTCCTCCGCCCACCGCCGCCACCACCCCGACCACTCCTTGCCCATCCCCGGTCGCTGTACCCGCCGCTGGCCGAGTTGGGCGTCGCGCTGCCGTCGCCGTGGTCCGGCCCATCACCACCGCCGCCGCCCACAGACACGGACAACGGCGGCCGTCGACCGCCGCGCACCTCCTTGGAGAGCGTCTCGTACGTCTTCCGCATCTGCGCGTACCCCAGGTGCATCTTGCCGTAAAAGTGGTCCGCCAGCCGCCGGTCGTTGTCCAGGCGGCTCAGGTACGCGCCGCACACGTCGCACACCTGCAGCTTCTGGTGGCCCGACGGCCCGCTCGTGTCGCTCAGCGCCTTGAGCTCCTTCTCCTTGTCGACGCGCGCCTGCGTCGTCTGCCGCACGCGCACGAGCTCGTCCAGTGCGAGCCCGACGAGCCCGGCCTCGCCGAGCACCTCGACCTCGACGAGGGCCTCGGCAATCGCGCTGTTCAGCTCGCCAATGGCGCGCAGCAGGGCGTTTGTCTGCCGGATCTCGTCGGGCGTCTTGTCCAGCCGCCGCTGCGCAATCTCGATGCGCCGGTTGCACTCCTCAATGTACTTTTGTAGGTCGCGCATGTAGTCGTACTCGAAGCCGTACTTGCTGGCGCGGTCGGCCGGCGACAGGGCCTCGTACTCGGCCTTGAGCGCCTCCGAGTGCACCTTGGGGCACATGCCCAGGTCCTGCTTGGTGTTGGTGAAGAGGTCGTGCGGACAGGTGCCCGCAATGTACGAGCGGCACACCTTGGGGTCGTTGAGGGACAGCTGCGCCCCGCGCGACGCGACGCCGCCGCCCATGAGCTGCTCTGGGAGCCAGTCAGTCTGTGTGTTCTGTCGATGGGACGTAGGGGAACGACAACGAGAACGAGAACCTACCGAGCAGCTTTCTTTGCTCTGCCGCCATGGCGAGTGTGGGGATTCAGTGTCGGGGGATCGGGAGGCAGCGTGAGGGTTCGCTGTATAAAGTTGTACAATCGCAGGATCGGCAAACCGTGTCGGAGTGCAATGCTTGCGTTTGCGTGGCTGCGGCGAGGGTGATGTCCGAACAATGGTTTGTGTGGCTGCTGCTCTTTTTTACAGCGGCAAAAGACGGAAAAGACAAGGCTGCCAGCAGCCTAGACCTCTGCCCAATCAGCGCCCAGCCTCGTCACGCCAGGAGTGCAGTTAAAGTGGGACAACCCCTAGCAAGCTCAGCGTCAGTGGCCACCTAATTCGAAGTGCTCCTGGAAGGCGCGACCGCGACAAGCTCCCCCCCTCTGTGCCCCTTTCCAGGCGCCTGGATTTCGATCTCGAAATTGGAATTCGACCCTCCAAACTCCAACCTCCTCCACACACAGCTACGATGCGACGGTTACTCTCCTATCTTCTCTGCCTGCTGGCAACATGCAGCCTGCCAGTGGCCGCCAATGCCGACGCCGCAGCCAACCCCGGGACCGACCACGTCGACTACTACGAGAACCTCGTCCTTCGACCACTGCCATTGTCGGCCCTCCTTGCCAGCTTCAACTTCCGGTCCAACACGACCCTGTCCGCGTTCGAGGCGGGCAACTTCCGCTTCTTCCCGCGCTCGATCGGCCAGATCCTGCAGTACGCCGGCACGCGCGAGCTGCACCTGCGCTTCAGCCTGGGCCGATGGGACGCCGAGAGCTGGGGCGCGCGGCCGTGGGCGGGCACGCGGGAAGGCGGCACGGGCGTCGAGCTGTGGGCGTGGCTGGACGCGCAGACGGACGACGAGGCGGACGAAAAGTGGCTGACGCTGACCAACGCGCTGTCGGGGCTGTTCTGCGCGTCGCTCAACTTCATCGACGGCACGCGCACGACGCGGCCGGTCATGTCCTTTGAGCCCGAGGGCGACCACCCGGCCAACGCGTCCATGCAGCTGCTGTACGGCACGCTGCCGCGCGAGGTGGTGTGTACGGAGAACCTGACGCCGTTCCTCAAGCTGCTGCCCTGCAAGGGCAAGGCGGGCATCGCGTCGCTGCTCGACGGCCACAAGCTGTTTGACGCGTCGTGGCAGAGCATGGCCATTGACGTGCGGCCCATCTGCCCGGACGGCGACAACGGCGACGGCGAGTGCGTGCTGCAGATTGAGCAGTCCATCGACATGGTGCTCGACATTGAGCGGTCCAAGCGGCCCCGCGACAACCCGATCCCGCGCCCGCTGCCGGGCCACGAGCTCAAGTGCGACACGGCCAAGGCCTACCACCACGACGACCATGTCTGCTTCCCGGCCAACTACAGCGCCCACCAGGACTGGAGCCTGACGCAGATCTTTGGCAAGGCCATGCGCGGCACCTGCACGCTGGCCGACCCGGCGACGCCGCCCGTGTGCCTCGAGGTGCCGGACGCGCGCTCGGTGTATGTGTCGGAGGGCGTGCGCGAGGTCAAGAACGCCAACGGGCGCGCGCGGTGTTTCTTTTTCGGGCCGGACACGACCTTTGAGGTGATGCTGCCCAACGAGGACACGGCGGCGGCGCAGGAGTCGGCCGTGCTGGCGCCCGAGACGCCGCTGCTGTATGCGGAGCGCAGCCTGACGGGCCACGGTGCCGAGCGCGGCGGCGTGCAGACGATCCTGACGAACCCGAGCCCGGACACCGAGGTCGAGTTTGTCTACATGGAGTCGCTGCTGTGGTTCATGCGCATCTACCTGCACACGCTGTCGGCGCGGCTCGTGGATGCCGAGGGGTCGGGCGGTGCGGGCGGTGCGGGCGGCGGCGGGCGCGACGTCATTCAAGACGTGTACTACCGCCCCGCGCTCGACCGCGCCCGCGGCACGCAGCTCGAGGTCCGCATGCGCATCCCCCCGGGCGGCATGGTGTTTCTGACGTACGACTTTGAAAAGTCCATCCTGCGCTACACCGAGTACCCGCCCGACGCCAACCGCGGCTTTGACGTCGCGGCCGCCGTCATCACCATTCTGCACCCGCCGTCGGCGCGGGCCGCATCTTTACCTTTGCCGGCCTCGGACCGGACGGCCGCCGGGCGGTCCAACCTGCGCACGACGACGCTGCTGCTGTCGCTGCCGACGCCCGACTTCAGCATGCCGTACAACGTCATCATCTTTACGTCGACGGCCATTGCGCTGGCCTTTGGCGGCATGTTCAACATTATCGTGCGGCGCTTCGTGGCGGCCGACGAGGGCCCGACCGTGAGCCTCAAGGCGGTGCTCGGGAAGCTGGTGGTGCGGGTGCTGGCGCTGGCCAACAAGACGCCCAAGACGGGTGACCAGCCGGTGCCAGAAACGGCCTCTGACGCGGCAGCCAGCGCGGCAGCCAGCGCGGCAGCCAGCGCGGCAGCCAGTGCAGCAGCCAAACGGTGATGGCGGGCGGACGATGGTTGGCAAGACTGCCTCTGAGCAAGAAAGAAGGCTCACGTACATTGCATTTGTTTTGGCCGAGCTTTGCATTTGTTTGTTCCATTTCTTTTCCGTTTTCTCTTGGCCACTGTTTTCCTTTGTAATATCATGAAAAATACATAGACATTGACTACCTGACACGATTTTGTTCACGTCTCAAAAGGTTGGTGGCCAGAAGTACAAAGTTCCTCGTTCCGTACGAAGTCGTTGTTTGACATTTTATCCACAACGAGAGTTTGCTTCTCGATTCTTCTATTCCCTAGAGACTTTGTCTTTCATATTTGCCCCTCCCCTTCTTTCGTTTCTGACGACTCTCGTCCTTTCTAGTAACCTCCTTTGCTGCCAACCGCCCGGAACCAAGGACGTACACACGGCACTGGTGTGTACGTGTGCCATTGGCAGAACGAGGGTCTCGTAAACGTCAAGTAGGATGATATGGAGTGACACGATACGGTGAAGGCTCATTTATTAAAGTGAATAGTTACTTTAAGGTAATGGATGGTACTGAGATTGGGGGTTGGGGCCTGCAAACAGGTGGTTTTTCATAACGTAGGTAGATAATGGACATACAAAAGCAAGTTAGCCCACTTCGCCGGGTCCCAGACATAACAGTAGAAAGGAAGAGACGTCATTCTATACCCTCCCTGAGAAGTGACGGCACACGACAAAAGCAAAATCAAACGCAGGATCCCAATCATAAAGGTTTGTGTAAACCCGACCGCAAAGAGACGTCAAGAGTGCGGGTATGGTATAAAAGAAGCAGGTGTGAAAAGACGACGACAGGCAAGTGTAAAACGAAGACACGACGTGCCCGGGTCTAGGAAAAGTACATGTGGAGAGGCAGAGGAGAGGCAGCGACGCTGGCTCAGTGCCGCGTCTCCTTCCAGATGGGCAGGAAGATGAAGATGCAGACGCCGACGCAGGAGAAAAAGGCGCCAAAGACGAGGCTCTGGATGACGATGCGGTGCTGCAGGCGGCGCAGGTGGGTGTCCTTGACGCGCAACTTGCGGTCAAAGATCATGAGGCGCGAGAGGGCGCGCACGATGCTGAAGCGCTGGGACACGACGCTGGCGCTGTCGTCGAAGCGCTCCCAGGGCAGGGGCTGGCGGCGGGTGAAGAGCAGCAGGAAGAAGCAGGAGCCGCGCAGGCCGCTGAGGATGAGGCTGAGGCCGAGCCACCACATGGGCCAGGCGGCAAAGACGTCGAAGCGGGAGTGGGCGCCGACGTGCGGCGTGAAGGCGCGCAGCAGCACGCAGAGGACGCCGGCGACGGTGAGGACGATGCCGAGCGTGGTGGCGACGCAGAGCGTCTCAAAGGTGCCGTTGGAGACGCCGAGGCGCACAAAGTTGCGGTGGGAGCAGTTGCGCAGCAGCAGGTAGACGTGGTCGGCAATGGGCTTGAGGTGGGCCGGGTCGGAGGAGTGGGCCAGCTCGGCGAGGGCGGCGTCGCGCAGGGGCGCCGGGATGTTGAGTTCCTTTTCGGCGCCGGGCCGGAGGAAGGTCTTGATGACGGCGTTGAGCTCGGCGCGGCGGCCGGCGCTGGCGTCGACGGGGTTCAGCGTGCTGGAGGCGACGCGCTTGAAGCCGGCGGGCTGGGGCACGGGCGGGACGGGGGCCTTGGGCAGCTCAAAGGTGGGCCGGCAGGTGTCGCCGGCGCACATGGCCTGGGTGCTGATCATCTCGGTGATGCGGGCGAGGGTCTCTGCGATTTCCGGGTCGGACGAGTAGGTCTCGGTGGGGGTGGCAGCAGCAGTGGTTGCGGCGGTGGAGGTGACGGTGGCGTCGTCCTTCTTGGTGAGGGTGGTGGTGCTCTCGGTCTCGCTGTGGAGGGACGACGAGTCCTTTTCGGCGGCCAGGGCGCGCTTGTAGTTGTCCTCGTAGTTGCGGTACCAGATGTAGAACTCGAGGTTCTCGGGCGAGAACTCGATGTACTTGAGATACATGTAGAAGTCGTAGAGAGACATGGGGCTGCCTGGGGAGAGGGTCAGAAGGGCATATAATCGTTGGACTCGTGATGGTGACAGCGACGCTTACAAGTCTTGTTCTCCAGCACACGCTCGAGGCGCAGGCGGGCGGGAATGTGTGTGCGAGCGCGGCCATCGGGACTCAGTGGCCGCTTGCCCGAGACGACGGCATTGGAGTACTCCTTGATGTCGCGGTACTCGGGCTTTTTGTACCAGTTGAGCCAGGAAGGAATCCACATCGTGGCGGTGTGTGGGACGTGGTGCGGAGGACGGATGTGTGGTGATGTAGAGTGTTGACCGTCGATGAATGCAAACACTTGATGGGAAATTCAAAAAAGAAAGACGAGGAAGAAAAGAAAGAAAAAGGAAGGGGCTAGGAAGACGAGGGAGGGAAGACTAATATATTAATATTGTGCTGAGAGGACGGAATGGAGTACAATCATAAATGAGAAGGAAGTGGACAAGGACGACAAGGACGACAAGGACGACAAGGACGACAAGGATCACAAGAATCACAAGGATGGACCAAAAGACCGGGACGCAAAGTACATCGTACGACCTACAAGGAAGCATGGCCACGGCCGGAAGCCACACAACCTGCAGCCAGCCAAGAAGCAAACCGCGCGACGCAACATCGCATGGCTGCCGCCATGTGGTCTGTTCGGCGGGAAGGCGAGTGTAACGACTTGGATGTGCACAAGCAAGGGCAGTGGTCAGTGGGGGGTGACAGAGTGCTCGTACGCCATACTCCATACTCTCTACTCCATGAGGTGCCGATCCCTCCACTTGGCTGATAGACACGACTGCCGACGGCCACAGAGGACCGAGGAAGGTGTATTGACACACCCATGCGCCAAGTTGCGGTGCACTGTCTTGGTCCGTGTTGTAAAATCCACACTACGTTATGCCGCCACGGCGGTGTCAAGATGGGCCCTCCCATTGCAGCAAGGAGGTGGACCAAACTGCGAAAGGGAGGGCGGGGAGAGGCACGACGCAAGGGCCGTCTATGACAGACGAAAATCAGTGACAGCAGACGAGGGGAGCAAGGACACGTGAAGAGGCCAAAAGAAAACGGAATATCCCAAACAAGAAATGCCTACACCCTCAAGACTACACCCTCAAGACAGGAACAACACCACCCTCTGGAGGTGCCCTGAGCTAGCGTGGCGTTTTACGGGGAATGTGGACTGCGTCGTAGCAGTGTGTGAAGTCGGATTAGGACAAACGACGTACTGTGTACGGGATCCAATCCCTCTGCCTCTCGTTTCTCCTTTTATTGCCATGTCCGGGACGTGGGTAGCACAAGACAGAGCATGCACCGCGTACAAAGCGGACAAGGGAGCAGTTGGGAGGACAGGCAAATTAGGTCTCGGGATGGAAAGTAAGCAAAGACAATGTAGGACGGACGACGTAGGACGGACGACGTAGGACGGACGACGGGCAGAAAACTGAAAATAACATGGAAATGAAAGAAGCGCACAAATGACGAGATGGCAGGTCAGTATTACGGGAGGAGTGGCAAGAGAAGGTCAAGGCCTTGCACTGACCTCGAGCCATTCCAAGCAGAACAGGAGGACACGACGAGAGGAGGCTTCCCAGCCAATACAATGGACAGACGCGCCAGTCGTGCGTAGTTGCTATGCATGTTTCAGACATTTCTTCCTTCGTCGTTGATTTCTCTCCCTTTTTTACTGGCTTTTACCGACGTTAGCTTTTTCTGCTCGATCAAGACAGGACCTCACCCAATCGGGTCAAGACGACCCATCCCTCTGCAGTGTGGCGCCGATCATTTTGTTTAGGTGAGCGCGCAAGAGAACGTGCGGTCGCTGCCGTCCAGAAATACTGCAGTACAAGACGGCGACAGCGCCAGGGCCACGCAACGCCCAGGCCGTACAACACCCGCAGACACAAATGCAGTACATGTACTCGGTACAAATGGACAACGTATTCATAAGACAGCGCGCGTCTCGGTGCAGGAGTGAATACAAAGTCGAACGCGTTCGTTCATGCCGTGCTCTGTCGTTGAAAGTGGTGTGTCGAACCACACGTGTTTTTCCTACGGGATGCTGGACTTCAACGGAGTACCAAAGGAAGGGTGTCGACGTACGACATGCTCCGTGCAAACGTATGGAGTCAACACGGCCACCGCTACGATCGACAAAACCTTGGCTGGGCCGAAGACGGCCGACCCTCGCATCCACATCCATAGCCGTACGATGTAGGTCCCTCACGATTGCTGCGAGTTTCTCGTGATTTTCCGGCTCTGCAGGTATGCGCACAACGGGAGAGCCCAACAGAAAGATCTGCGAGGCACGTCTTCTTTTCGTTTATTTTCTTTTATTTCCTTTTTTTTCTTTTTCATTTGTTTCGTTTGTTTTCGTCTGTTTTCTTCTGTTTTATTCTGTTGTATTCTGTTTCCCCTTTCTCCCTTCTCTTTCACTTACCCACACAGGATTCGTTCATGATTGTTTGCCGTTTCCTTGCTTCGTCCTCGCGTTATCTGTCTTCCTCACATCTTGTCCGAAAGCACGGACGTTTGCCTAAAAGATTCTTGTTACTCCTCTTTATTTCTCACCTGCCATCAGAAAGCCCTCCGAATCTATCTCCTGATATCTTGTCAGTGTCTTCTTGGCGTGGGCCGCAAATTGTGGACTTTCTGCCTTGCATCGCCAGATACCTCCTGAGTGGCCCAACCTGGATGGACTAAAGTGCGTGTGCTGAAGCGTGCATAAAATAGTCTCGTTTAGTCTTTCTTCCTTTCTTACCCCTGATCTAAACGCCAGGGACAAGCAAAGGCCACCAAAAGCACACACTATAGTAGTAGAATAGCTTGTCACGCTAGGAAGAGGAATAGGAAACGAAAACCAGAAAGGAAAAAGCAAAAGAAAGGAACACCACAAAGGGATAGAAAAAGAAACGTGGCGCATTTGACTTCCAGAATAGGTACGCTTGGTACTCCGTACTTTGACACAAAGGACACGAACCCAATACGATTCGAAAAGGACAGACGGTTCGTTCGGTGAAAGCTGGGGCACGCAACGGCTGCTCGATACTGGGCTCGGATGTGTGCCGACAAACATGACCCAAAAAGAATTACGTGAACACTGCCCAGGCCGGCCTCAATGTTTGGTTCGGCTTTCAATAGTTTGTTGTAGGTGGCCCGTGTTTACAACTAACAACATCAAAGCGCAAAGGTCGATGAGAAGGCGAGGAGACAAGTGACCTGCCGTGGAAGATACGAATTGTTTAAGAGCCAGGCAGAAAATCACGAGATAAAACGCGTTTAGTAAACTCGGCCTTGGACCAACGTGGTTATTTCCTCCGTTTACTTTTGTTCTCCCGGCAGTCTTGTCTGTCGATCCGGTCTGCCGGTGTCTTGAAGGTCTCCCGCTTTTTGCCTCTGCTTTTCTTGGGTGTCTCACTCAACTCGTTTTTCGTTTCTTTTTATCTTTTTATCTTTTCGTCTTTTCTTTTCTTCTGTTGCTTCTTTCTTTTTCCGTCGTCACTTTTCACTGTCGATCCCAGAGCCCACGCACTCGTCGGCCGAATATCTTTTCCGTATTAAGAAAAAGGCCGGTGACAGGGCAGTCGAGCCTCAGGACAGACTGGCGCAGGAAAAGTCCAAAACGAGCAAAGCACCTGCGGGCCGGAAAACCCCAGGTGGCTAGACATGGCAGGCCTGAACAACCCCTGGAGAGGACCAGAGGATACGCTGGACATGACCTCGGCGTGCGCCATGAGCACCCCTGACAAACAGCTAGACCGCTTCGCTGGCAAAGATGCCCTGGACTCGATCGCCGTCTCGATTTGTGTGCCAGTTCCTTGTCGTTGTGATGACAGCTGAATTCGTTATGAAAAGCCACGCTTGTAATTAAATTCCTCGCTTTTTGCCACATCTTCAGCTCCTCGTTCTCTTCAGCTATTCCTCCTCCTGTCTTGAATCACGCCTTCCGGGCATGTTTCAGCCACGGGCAGCCATATTTTGTGTAAATTGGATGCGACTGATGCCCTGGAGAACAAAGAAGAGAACAGCTACAACGTACCCTATCCGCATAGGCGACGAGGATATCGACCGCTGCGGGACGGGAGGATGAACATGTAAAGTCCCCAGTTGCAAGGATCGTCACACTGGCAGCCCTCGGCCGGATCATATCCGGTCCCAAACGAGTAGCATTCTGCGTTTCCCTGTCACTGCCATGAGTGATGTGCGCTGTGCAGTACCTTGTACGGGTGCTCGACGGCCCTACTGCGTGTCCCAAGACAGAGGCGCCAGGTCCAGGGAGTTGCGTTGCAGTTGCAGTCCGTCCCGCCTCAGCCCTGGCGTCGATCTTTGGGGGGCCGGAGTCACACATTGACAATGACATAACACGATTCATCGACCAACAGGAAGGGCAACCAGCAAAATTGTGTGTGATGGGAGATCCCAGGCGTGGTGGTACATAATAAAGGGAACTGTTTTTGTTTTTATATTTGACAAGGTCCAGGGACAAGATGGCCGTCCTATCAGACGACCCAAGCTGTCGGAGATGCAAATTGTCAGGTACTTTTTGAAAATACCCCGGTATCTCTAATTAGTCTGCCTTGGAAGAAAGGAGAAAGGAGAAGAGGGAAAAAAGGAGCATAGAAAGAGGCAAAGACCACTAAAAAGGCAGACCAAAGAAACAGCAAGCTCAGACATGCAGAAGTGCTGCAGGACGGACATGCTGCAGCCGTAGCCGTTGGGCGAGACAGAATAACAGGAAAGCAGAAATGCGAAGCGGGCATTCTCACTCTCTCTGCCGTTTAAACACAAACACAAGTGGTCGGCGGTGTATTTCGCCTCCTCTTCCCCCTTGCATTTTGTGTATCTTGGCATCACTGCATTGGCAGTGTTGACAGAAGTGACAGAAGTGACAGAAGTGACAGGAGTGACAGGATTGACTTGGACAAACGTCCAGCACTCTCAATGGCACGGCTTTGCCACTTGACGGTGGGCCTGGCCAGAGCCATGGTCCGGGCGCGACCCATCTAACCCGAAGCCGGATCAGCGTGCGATCTGTGGACGACAGCTATCTCAACTCGTTTTGGTGCCTTTACCCGCCGCCCTGACCGTGATCCCCAGTGTTCCCAGCATCCCTTGCGTCCTCGTGTCGCCCCTGCGACCCTATAACGTTTGCTGGTGGGCCTCAAAGCCGTAGAAATAAATACCAGTTCAGGTTAAAAAACTATCTGTACAATACGATTTTCCTCATATATTCCCGCACAGACAACGTTCTGCAGTCAGAGGCTGACGACTGTGATGTGGTGCGTCTTTACAGTTCTAGCAAAAATGTCAAAAGCAGAAAGAAGCCGTAGTCGTAAATCAAGAGTCAGAACTGCCAACCTCTCCGTCTAGTCTGCCTCCACACTCCAACCCCTCACGTCGCCAGTCCACGCGTGGATACACCACTGCAGCCTATTGCCCACACATGGGAGGAGACGATCGTCGCTGCGGCGCTAGCCACCACATCCCAACGGCGGCATTCCAGTGAGACATGTATGTCCCATGGAATCGAGGAGGTCAATGTCGAGGTAACGAACAACGACACTTGTGAAGCAAGGGCGGCTGTTTCTGTGTTGTTTACAGAGAGAGGACATATTTTGTCTTATTGTCCGTGGTGGCAAGAATGTTTAAAAGTCAAAACGTCCAAGCATGTGTCCGTCCTGGGGAAGATTCTGCGCCAACAGGACAGACAGAGCAATGAATGATCGACAATATACCACGTTTATTAGTTCTTTTCTATTCTATACGTTCTTGCTATACTCTGCTCATTTATAAGAAAAATATTCTTTTTTTATCTTGGCCTTGTTGACTGTCTCTCGACGTTAGCTTCCAGCACACGCTATTTCTCAATCGCGTTGTCCTTCTCCCGTCATTAGTTTAGGATCTCTTAGTACGTTCTACACCCAACTTGCCCTGGCATAGACTGCACCCAGTCCTACTTTGGTCTGAAAGTAGATAGACAGGGACGAGGAAGAATAAATCAGAGGAAGAATAATCAGAGGAAAAGCAAACCAATTGTCATACGTCAACAACTTCATCTCAAGAAGGGATCACACAACTGCAAACTCGTTAACTTGACGTGAACTCGGCAACCCACGCCGGAGAATTTCGGGCCAGCTCCGAACCTGGAAGCCATTTAGAATTACAATATCAGAGATCAGTTGCAGCCGATGCGCCGGCTGTGGACGACAGACTCGCCTGGATCTCTTTCAGGAACGAGGCGCCTCGCCACACGAACGGGACGAGGGCTGCATCGTTACCGAACTGCGTGTGCCCCATGCATGGCAGGCGACCAATGCGGATTCAATGCAACATTGGACCGCCGATGGCAGCACACAGCGAACCGTTTTGTTGAGGATGGTTTGCGCCAAAGACACGTACAAACAACGGGCGAGGACGTCTTAATCTTAAAAGAGAGAGAAGACGGGGACAATTCAATCCGTCCTTTTTTCATTCTCATGCAAAGAACATTGGCCTACGGAGTGCTCCGTACAAATCCTCCATGCCTCCCAATTGCCTCCAAACAAGCCTAGTGGTTTGCTCTGGCGCCGCGCACGGGCAGCCAAAAGGTCCAGGCACCGCGTCCCCAAGCGTCGACAAGACGACGACGTACCTTACCGCCATATACCCTCTTGAGAAAATCGATTGACGTTGCGCACGGTCGTTTACTGTCAACCAGCCATCCAATGGTGCAAATGTCATTTCCAAAATCAATAAAGCTTGCGAGAAGGACTTGGGCAGCGCGGAGACGAGGAGAATTCGTGCGCTTGGAACGCCCATGCGGAACTGCCGACTGCAGTGGGCCGGCCGCTGGAGAGAGGCTTGAGCGAGTCCGTGGCTGCATCGTCACATTGTCACTTGGACGTGGCTCAGATGCGGGGAAGGTCATGACGGGCAAGATGGGGCGGATCCTCGTTCGCGGCCGCCTGCTGGCCCAAGCACATCCGTATTGGAGTGTCCTGCCGTGTGCGCCCGGCCGGTTCTTGTCCTCTCGAGCCTCCCGTGCTGAGGATTCTCGTGATTTGACCGGCGTTGGAGATGCACTTTGCTGTCCAAAAGACGCTGGGTTGCATATGTGTATTGGCACATGCAAGTGTGTCTGAGTGCCACGTGCTGGACAAGTGTATAACCTTGGTACCATGGCGTCCAATACATTGTGCGCAATACTCTCTGACCGCCCTCCCAACCATCTGAATATGCATCGCTTGGACGTTGCGTGCAGCTTCCTCTCTCCCCGGCTGAAAATGAGCAATGTTAAAATTGGAGGGCGGTGAACAAGAAGAGAAGAGTGCGGAGGGAAGTAATGAGTTGAGTACTGAGTTGCGTACTGAGTTGAGTACTGAGTTGAGTACTGCGAACAGATACGATACTGCCCGTTTACGAAGCGAGATTTGCGCTGTAGCTAGTGCGGTGCCGGCTGCTGTATGGAGATGGAGGTCGAACAGACGGGAACAGACGTAGTGGATGTGCTGTTGATACGATCTTCATACTTATGATGTGAATGCTGCGTTTTGATAAAGCTTAATTGACATCTACCAATGATTGTACGTGACAAGACGCTTTTGAGATTGGATGTAAACAAAACAAAAGAGACAAGTGATAGTACAACAAACTCCCCGTGAACGACAAGGCAAGACTGCGTAAACAAACGATGCTATCAAAACAACGTCCATCAAACCACATATATCACCTCCCAACCACCACCTATACATCACCCATCTTGACCAGCATGTCCGGAGTGTCTCGCGAGTGCAGAATCATCTGGTGCTCGTAGCGGGCAAATGCGGAGGTGGCCAGTGGTGAGTGACGGCTGCGGCTGCGGTTGCGGGTATCCTGGAACCAGAAGCCCGGATGGACGGCCATGAGGAGGACGGACATGATGAGGATGGGGATGCTGTCCAGCGCAATAAAGACACCCTCTTTGGAGGCCAGCGGGCCGTTGAAGCCACCGCTGAGCTCGGCGGCACGCCAGCAGGAGCGGACGAAGAGACAGGCGGCGGCGACACCGAGGAGAATGCCGTAGCGGGTGGTGCGCTGGCCGAGACCGCGTGTGGTATTGTTGGCGTTGTTGACGTTGTCGATGTTGTTGACGCGCGAGAGGCGGCGGTACAGACACGGGAGGACGACGCAAAAAATGGAGGTAAACAAGATCTGGGTGCCCAGGCCGGCAATCATGAGGTCGACACCAATGGGCTGGTCCGCGTAGATGGCCGCGAGCGAGCCGCCGACGCCGATGAAGCAGAGACACAAGAAGTCGCCCAGAATAAACAGAGTGGAAAACAGCGTGGGGCCGAGAAACGGGACGCGGGCCGCCGGATATGCGCGGAGGAGGGCGCTGATGGACAGGTAGAGCGCCGACGACAAGAACGTGGGCCCGAGCGTGAGCCCGATGATGTACATGATGTAGCCGTTCTTGTCGAAGCGGTCGTGGGCGAGCATGACTTTGGCAATGTAGCCCAGGAGCTCGAGCAGCAGGCCGCAGAGCATGCCGATGGCATTGCCGTAATAGCGCCAGAAACGGGCGGACACAAGCAGCTGAAGAAACAGGAGCACGCCGTAGGCAATGGCAAAGACGACGGCCGGCACCATGAGCGGCGTGAACGGCAGAGCGCCGACGCCATTGGGCGGGACGTGGGAGGAGGAGGAGGAGGAGGAGGACGACGAGTTGGAGCTGTTCATGGTGGGAGGTGACTATCTTGGAGAGCGAGAAGGATGCCAGGTCGTCTGATAAATAGAATGTACGACGTATGAATGTACGACGTATTGCAGCCTCTCTACGCGCTGGGTTTGTTGAGCGTCGAGATGTAGAGCCGAGTGCGTGGTGATGCTGCTCAGGCTGACATGTTTATACAGTTGAGATTTGACCGTCTTCATCAGTTTAATATCTTTAAACGGCTGCCTGTTATCTGCGTCTTTTCTGTCTATTTTTGTCTACACCGACCGTAGTCGTCGCATTACTGTACATCGCGAGACAAGTTGCACAACAACAGCTGTGTTATCGCCGTGACGTCGCCGTTGAGCGCGGAGATTTTGTATAATGTGATTGGGCTATATTTGTGGGACCTGCCCTTCGTGTGAAAACGGGGATTTCGGAAATGTCCGCGCAGCGAATCGAATTTTCCGCTTGGGCGAAAGTGCCGCACATTCTCCGGAGAAACCCCGCACAATACCCGTTATATACCGACGTCTCTCACCTCAGCCCAAGATCGTGCTCAACGACAAATCAGCGAACACGCAAACGCATACACGAACACACATGCGCTAGACGTTGAAACACACACTCACCCACCCGCACACCCCACCGTAATGCGCCTCCGTCGGGGCATGGTCCGCGAGTCGTGTGACTTTTGTCACCGCCGCAAAATCAAATGCGATCGCCTGTCGCGCAACGACACGGGCCACACAGCGTGCTCGCAGTGCTCGCTGCGCGGTGTGCCGTGCCGCATGGACGACTCGGACGACATTCGGCTGCGCGGGCGTTGTCGGCAGGCACAGACCCGGACCCCGTCGTCTCCCGCGGCCCTCTCCACGCCGGCGACGTCGTCCGAACAGCTGCAGACCCCAACAACCTCCGTTCGACGCACATTGCGGCAGAGCGGTGGCGTACCAGGCCGCCAATCACCGTCAGCCAGCCGTCTGGGCACAAGCATCGCCACTGCGGGCGCCAGCCCGGTGTCGACGGCATCCATGGCGTCGGTGGACGAGGCGACAAACAGCTCGACGTCGTCTTTCGGCCGTCCTCCACAGCATATAGTTCCGTCCATGTCCACGTCGTCGATGTCCACGTCGTCACTGGCCACGCCGGCGTCCATAAATCTAGAAGTCGGTGACCAGGGTAATGCAGTTCATAGTCTCCTGGCCCCGTCCCAGTCGCCCCAGTCGTCCCAGACCCAGCCTCTTTCTCAGCCCCAACTGCATCCCCAGTCCAGCCTGTCGTACAACGTGAATTCGTCCGCCGGCAACATCAACACGTTCCACTCCATCGCCTCCATCAACACGCCACCCTCGTCGTCCGTGGCCGAGGACCTCATGTTCTTGGACGACCCGTTCCACCTCAACGCCGACAGCATTTTCTTCCTGGACCAGATCTTTACAGGCTATCCGGACGGGCCGGCATACGGACCGCTGCCAACGTGGCCCAGCAGCACCGGCAACACAATGTCGTCTTCGGACCTTCAGCCCCTGGTGCTCAACCAGATGCACCCAGCGCAGGTACAGGCGCTGCCCACGGCCTCGGATGCAAGCCTGCCGGTGCACTCATATACGTTGCAAGCCACGCAGCAGCCATCACAGGAGCCATCGCAGGAGCCATCACAGCCGCCTCCACAGGAGCATGGAGGGCCAGCGTTGGCGGACGGCCTCAGCGACGGCGGCTACGACCCGCCGCCCTGGACGCGCTGCGGCCTGGACGAGGCCACGTTCCTCCGGGCCCTGCGCGCCTACTTTGCCTACGCGACGCTCTACCTGCCCATTTTGCTGGAGGACGCCTTCTGGCAGGACTACCAGGCGGGGCGCTGCAGCCTCAGCATCATTTATGCGGTGGCCTGCCGCGGCCTGCCGTTCACGGCGCCGCCGCTGTCGGCCACGCGCGACGACCGCCGCCGCATCTGGCGCCAGCAACAGCGCGTGGCCGAGCAGTTCCGCGAGGCCTTTTTTGCGGCGCAGCTCAGTGCCAACCGCAGCGGCGGCCGTGCGCGGCTCGACGACCTGGAGGCGCTGGCTCTGATGGTGTTTTTCAAGTACAGCGGGGACGAAGGGGGAGGAGGAGGTGGTGATGGTGGTGGAGGAGGAAAAAACAAAGAAGCGACGCTCTCGCAGCTGCACGCGCACCTGGCCGGACTGTACCTGACACGCGACTCGCTCGTGCTGATGACAATGCAGTCGGGCATTGACGTGCCCGACGTGGGCAGCCAGCCTCTGTCGACGGCATGCACATCGTCCGACCCGACGGCCCCCGCAGCGCGTCTGCACGACCGCCGCACCATCTTGTTCTGGCATGTCTACGGCCTGGACAGCTTCGACTGCCTCGACAAGAAGACGCTGAGCCGCATTCCCGACTGCAACCACCACCTGCTGCTGCCCACAGCGACGTCGACGTCGACATCGGCCCCCAAACGACTGCCCGCCCTCCCCCGCCACCACGAAGAGGCCCGCGGCTACCTCGACGCCGTGCTCGACCTCGCCGTCATTGCCCGCAAGGCTCTCGTGTCCCTCAGCAACGCCACCGCCCGCCGCAGCGGCGTCCGCGCCGACCAGCTCGAGTCCGTCTACGCCCTGCTCGAGCAGTGGCAGCGCACGACCTGCCCGGCGCACTTGCGGCGCCAGCGGGACGCAGACGGCCGTCTCAGCCTGGCAGCGGGCGTCAGCAGCACAAACAGCGCCAGCAGCACAAACAACACAAGCAGTGCCGACGGCGGCCAGGTCCAGCTGCACCGCGCCGTCGTCTGGATCCTGGAGATCAACTGCTACCTGCAGATTGCCGACTGCGTGGACCAGTACGGCATCCTGGCACCGGCCACCACCGGCCTCGACGACGAAGTCGCGCGGCTCCGCGTCGAGGCCGAGACGCTGCGGCAGGTGCGGGATGCCGTCCACATCGCCCGCGCCATCCTCGCGTACGACGCCTCGCCGCGCCGCGGCACCACCTTTTCGCTGCCCGACCTGGGCACGTCCATTGTGCGCGACTGCTGCGTCGGCGTGGCCCGGTGGGCCTGCTTCCGCGGGCAGCAAAAGGGAGCGGTGGGCGGTATCACCACCACCACCGCCACCAGCAGCGACAAAACAAAACGCACACGCCACACCATGGCCACCTACCTCGAGGCGGCGACCGTCCTGCGAGACGCGGCAGCCACGGCCGTCTCGCACGCCGACACGCAACCCGCAATTGACCGGCTGGACGAGCAGATTGCCAGTCTGGTGGCCGCCATGGACGACGTTGCAGGAAAGTGAAATGGAGGAGGGGGAGGTTGCATGACCATAATGAATAACGATTTGTAATGGACTTTGGACTGGCATATACCATAACTCATGAACTTGTTTTACTCTTGTTTTACTTGCGTCGTATTCTTATTCACATTGTTAGCTTTAATGTAAAAGTGTATTATTTTTGGCGTTGCTTATTGGTTTTTAGTTTGTACGTCCTTGAATAATATTCATCGGTTTTCCTGTTGTTTTTTTCTATTTTATTTAAATCTATGTCCGTTTGCCACGGTTCCCCTCCTTCGGCATGCGTCCGGCCGATGCCCGATTGATGTTGCATTGAACCCTCACTCCGTCCTCGTCTTCGGCATACATGAACAGCAACAAGTGTCTGATGTGACGGATGCCGGTTGATCGGCACTGCGTGCGTTGTCGTTCTCGGCGTCACATCTCTTCGGTGTACAGCAGAGCCACGGTCCTGGGACAGCAATCTTGGATACACAATGAAGCCAAGCCGTCTCGCCAAACGATGACACCCTGCCTGATGTACGTGCAGTGAGGTGAGGTGCAGTGAGTTGCAGTGAGGTGCATCAAGTCCTTCAAGAGCACGCGATGTGCACTCCTTGGCCAATATGCCGTTGCTGCGTTGGGGCACCGCCTGTCCACAAGCCAATCACAGACCCAGTCGTGTTTCTTGTTCAGCTGGCCGTGCCCCCTTCTCCTCTTTCCCCGTTCTCTCATTTCTCCACAGCTACGGCATATTCTGCAAGGAGACGCCGCTGTTCCTGCTGTTCCTGCTGTTCCTGCTCGTCCTGCTGGCCCCATTGTCCCAAATCGAGTCTGGCAAAGAGTACGGACTATGCGTCCGCAGTATGCCACTCTTATGCCCGGATTCGGCAGCGAGCACAGAGTCATACAAAGGGCAGCGTACGACATACAGCCTTGCCAATGGGCTGAGATGGCATGTCCATGTCCCCACGCATTTATGGTCAGCTCATCGAAGAATGCGCAGCACTCACGTGTTGCAGGCGTTTCTATTGTTTTTCGTCTACGGAGCGTTCTTCGTGTTGTTTGGGTTTTGTTCCTTATCTCCTCCACGCCGAAGCTCCCCATTGACCCTCCCTTGCATGACCGTGCTTGATCTCGACCTGCGCAGCTGTCGGAACGTTGCTTCGTAGGAGGGAAAGAAGGAATCGCCGTCTGGCCTCGAAAAGTCGTCTGTTCAGGTCCAGGAACGTCACGCGTCTGTTGAGACGAGACGTGCTCAACAAATACCACAAAGCACCGAATGTTGAAGAATAAAATGAATGGAATGCTTGTTTCGTAAGCGCTACAGCGAATACATGTGGTCAGTGGATGGGCCATCTACACAGAAAAGCGGATTTGGCGCGCATCACGAATTATGACGTTTGCGCGTCCATTGTTGAGCGACAGGGGGTTGGGTAAATCGCCAAATACGGGTTTGAGGAGCGGAGAACGAAGCCACGAAAAGGGAAACCGTCTGACGGTCGTAGGCTGCAGACTAAGAAACAAGTGCCTAATCTGGCCCGACCGTCTCCCAACTCATCTCTCATGTCTCTGTCTGATGGACATGCACGGCATGGTGCCGAGATTGTGGGACCGGACCATGAGCCTGGACGCTGCATGTTTTTGCTGCTTTCTTTTTTTTAGCATGGGTTTGTTGAATGTTGGGTTTGCTAGTTAGAGGTCTTTCAGCTTGACTAGGACCCGCTTGGGCCACGAGTGGGTCGAGTTCAGCTGGCATGGTCAAGACGAACAGACGAACGAGAGAAACAGGGCTTCCTATTGGTGGTCAGGGGGCGTGACAGCGTGAATTATGGAGTGCAGAAGGACGGCAACAGGGCAACGGAGCGATGCGGGAGGGAAGGGAAAGCAAGATATAAGAAGAAAAAAAAAGTCGAGACTACACACGCGCCCGCTTACTCGAGTCGTCTGTCCTTGTCTTGTCCTCCTTGTCTTGTCCTCCTTGTCTTGTCCTCCTTGTCTTGTCCTCTCTTCCTGCCTTTTTAAGCTATTTGAATCCACCTCCGCCGCTCGTCGGGTTGTTGAGACAAAGGTGTGGGCTGAGCGCGTTGCTGGTTTAGCTCTTCGCCCGAGACCATTCCTGATCAGATGCATGGCCGTGGTAGTCTGTGGTTGACGGGTGGAACGGTGGGACAGTGGGAACGGGCGGACAAGGGTGGGCACGCACGGGTGGGCTATCTGAAGCAGATCGCCCTTGTGTGGCCTGAGATCGTATCGTGACGATCGGCGGTAATGGGAATGGATTTCGAGGAATTAAATAGACGAAAATCTAGACGAAATCGACGAAAATCAACCACGCCATGCAAACTCCAGCGTGATCTAACGGTGATTGCCGGTCGGATGTCCTGTAAGGGAAGCAAAAGTAAGCAGAAAGTGATGGAGTAGGACGCCGTAAACACCGACAAAAAGGACAATATCGAAAGACCCTGCCAAACCAAACTAAAAGAGCCTGCCTGGCAGTACTGGCCGGCACTAGCTTCCGCCTATCGAGTTGGATGGAGCTCGTGGGTTGTACGGAGACAGCGCAGGGCAGATGGACGGACATGCCCTGGCGTGGGTGCTAAGAGTAGTCTCGGAGAAATTAGACAAAGAGGTCGGAGGCAATAATAGAATAAGCACCCTTGTTCAAATACTCAGGAGCCACCCAAGCCAAGAGAGGGTGCAAGACGTGCCATGAGGTCTTGAAGGCGGACTCTTGCGTCTACAGAGAAGTCGTTCTGACAACACATCAAACGAAGTATGCGTTGGTGCCGACTCGTGCCGACTCGTGCCGACTTGTGACCGAAGTCGATTTTGAGGGCCGTAGGCAAGATGGACGTACGTTGTCTCATGTGTCTTGGCTGTCTGGCTTGTCGTCTGTCCGTCGGCGTCTGTCCGTCACACGGCGATGCACCCATTTGCAAGCGCCAGGCACCACAGCGTCAGTTTGAGCTGGGCAGGGGCCGTGTTTGTACGCAGTTGAGCCTCGTATTGACGCTGGCCTTGCTGTCTGTCTGGATTGGGCGGTGGGCTGTTTTATTGTTTTATTTTATTGTTTTATTGACTCGATACTGTGGGGGCGTCTTGTCTTGCTGTCTTGCTGTCTTGCTGTCTTGCCTGTCTTGCCTGTCTTGCCTGTCTTGCCTGTCTTGCCTGCCTTGCTGAAATGCCCCAGTCCTGGCATGGGTTGTCTTCTGTCGTGTGTTCTGTCGTGTGTTCTGTCGAGTGTTCTTTTTTTTGTCTTTTTATTTACGTTCTTTGTTTAATTCTTCATCCCCTCAAGCTACTTCTTCCCCGGCCATGCTCAGCCTCTGTCATCCCACCCCTCAGACAAGATGCGAAGCTGTATTCAATATTGACGCAGCTCCTTTGACGTTTGTTTTTATGATTTTTTCTTCTTATTTTATTTTAATTCTCACTTATTTATCCTTTACATTAACCCTCTTGTTCTCTCCTTTACTTTTTAACTTCTCGTTTAATTCTCATTCCCTTTGCCCCCGCCGTGTCAGCTTCCCTTGCCGGTCTAGCCCTCTTGGACAGATAAATCAAATACAAGAAGCGCCGTTAGTCCCTCTTTGTCACGTCGAGTTCAGCTCCGCCTGGCGCCGACCTTGCCACTGCCTGCCGATGATCGAGAGTGGACATGGTGTTGCAGTTTGTTGGACACTTCTCAACGTCTGAAGCAAGAAGCGAGAGAAAGGAGTCTGTGACATGATACAAAATAACAAGAGAGCAAGAAACAAGAAAGCGGTCTACCACTCGAGCTGAATCTTTGGTTTTTTGATGTTGCTCTGAGTCTTGTTGTCCTTCATATTCTCCCCTCTGTCGGTTCGTCGGTTTCTTTACCTCCTCGTCTCATCTCGACTCTTGCCATATCTTCTCGTCTCCTCGCCTCGTCTCCTCGCCTCGTCTCCTCGCCTCGTCTCCTCACCTCATCTCGCCTCCTCGTCTCGCCTTCCCTCCATCATGGAGGAGGACGGTGTCTCGTCCGTCTATTCGACCCTGTCGCCGACGTCGTCGTCCTTGGACGTGGCACAATATGCACAGCAGCAGCTGCCGTCACAAAGCCAAGTCGACCAGCACCTTCTGCAAAGCCAGCTCCAGCAGACCAAGTCCCCGCAGCCGCCACCGCCACAGGGCCTAGTGCCGCTGCAGCGCCCGCCCCGTCTTGTGCACTCGTCCTCGTCCGGCTCGACCCTCCCGTCCGCCTCGTCGGCCTCCGCCTCTGGCTCTGGCTCGTCGTCCGACGCCGTGCGCGGCCGGTCATCGCGGCCGCCGAGCACACGCCGCCGCAGCAAGCTGTCGTCGCAGGAGCGGGCCAAGATCCTCGAAGTGCGGCGCCAGCGGGCGTGTCTGCGGTGCAAGATGCTCAAGATCCAGTGCAGCAGGGAGAACCCGTGCAAGCCGTGCCTGTCGTCGGCGGTGCGCGGCTACGAGCGCAAGGTGCTGTCGTTTTGCTACTGCGTGCGCACGCGGTTTGTCGACGTCGACATTTTTCAAAGGAGTGCGTGCCGTCATCCCCCATCCCCCTCCCCCCGCCCCCCGCGCCCTGTGCCCATCCCTTCTTACTGACGTCGCAGGCGAGGCCGGACCACCACCCGAGATCCCGACCTCCATCCGCACCCTCATGGACCAAGTCGAGCGGCCGACACTACCACCAGCCGTCGCGGAGTCTCCTTCTTCTGATTCCACAGCGCCCGCCTCCGCCTCCACGCACGACCTCTTTGAAGACACGCTGCTTCGCTGGCTCACAAGCCCCGACCACGCGCCGCCCGAAGGCACCAGCAGCATTGTCGCGCTGCTGTACGACATGGTCGGCCACGCCGACAGTCTCCGCGCCGCCGTCGACGACCGCCTGCCCGCAGACTTTCAGACGTTTTTGTTTACGACGTCGCTCGCCCACAGCGGCTGGCGCGGCGGCGGCGGCGACGACAACGGCAGCGCCACCGCCACAGGCACCGGCACGCGCAGCGTCTCGCACCGGGACCTGTGCATTGCCGGCCACGTCTGCGGCTCGCGCATCGTGCGGCGGCTCGACCGCGTCCTGACGCCGCAGTTCCTGGCCAAGTGCGACCGCACGACGCACCGCGCGCTGCTGCTGCTCGTCGTGGGCGTCATCCTCGGCGTGTCCTACAGCACGCGCCTCACGACGTCGCCGTCGTTCCCGCACGACCTGCTGGGCGCCGAGATGCGCCACAGCCCGACGCTGTGGCTGGCCATGAAGGAGCACCTGGCGCAGATGCTGGCGCACCATTTGATATTCCTCGGGTCCATGCTCGGCATCAAGCTGGACACGGCCGCCGAGAAGACCATCATCGACACCGCCGTCGACCGCTGGCACAAGCCCGAACGCAGTCTGTGGGCGGGCCTTTCGCCGGCCGCCGGCGGGACATCGGCTGGCGGCACACCGACAGGCGCGGCGACAGCGGCGACAGCGGCGACAGCGGCTTCGGCTCCAGCCCCCACGCCAGCGCCGCTGTCCGACGACGCGCTGGTTGCCCGCACGTATGGCGCCCGCCTCGGCGATTTCAACACGGAACTCGACGGCCCGCCCGCCGCCGTGGAGACCCGCATGGCCCGCCTGTCCATTGTCGCCCTCAGCGATCCGGACCTGCTGCAGCTGCAGGCCGTCCCGCCCATGTCCGACGACGACGCCAGCGCCAACCCGGCGTCGTTTTACAACATGGACGGTCAGGCCGGCCACGCAAACAACGTAAACGACCCAAACGACCCAAACGACCCAAACGACCCAAACAACCCAAACCGTGCCGGCAACCCCGGCGACGGCCCACCGCACACCCGTAAGAAGCGCTCCGTGTGGATTGTCCGGCCGTACGACGACGGCGGCCACCGCGACCCCGTCAGCGTATTTGCCCGTTTCCAGCTGCAGCGGGGGCAGAACTTGGGGCTGTTTGTGTGAGGGCGTGGGGGGCGAGGGACTTGGTGCTTGCTGGTTGTCTGCTGGTTGTCTGCTGGTTGTCTGCTGGTTGTCTGCTGGTTGTCTGCTGGTTGTGTCTGCTGGCTGTTGGTCATTTATGCGGTAGTCAGCATCCTTTCATTCGTCCATTCTTTCCTGGTTCTTCTTATTCCTTACGATTCATGATCATGTCGGCATCGTCCGCGGTAGAATACACGCGACTCGGGACATTCTTCACATACATTTACGAATAATATGAGTCACTTCTCGCCATGAAGCCCAGGTTGTCGTTGTAGAGTTGTCTTTTGCACAGTGTCGAGTAAATCAGCACAGCCAGCCCGTGATGTTGAGAAATCGTCGGGCCACAGCGCCGGTGAGTCACGATACAGAGCCGGGGCTGGCCTTTGCCGTTTACCAAACTGCGGATTCTGTTTCGAGTGTCTAGGCGGAGGACGACATTTGTTTGTCAGTGGTGGACCTGCAATGTGCTCGAGGAATTTGCTGCTCTAAAATATGCTGCACTTACAGTGCAAGAATCAAGGTGGGCACGATAAGAAACTGCCGCGGCCCTCGGGGATCTGTCGACGTTATTGCTGCCATACGATGGCTACTCCTTGCGTTTCGCATCCGGTGACTGTTCCACTGTATTGTTCAAGCTTCATTGCTTGGGTTGAGGCCGTTTGCGGCCGTATTTCGCTGTTGACTCTGCTCGGCGTCAAAGCTCCTGAGAGTTGGCCTCAGTCTTGGCAGCCAGGATCCACCAACAGTCCAATTAGACTTTTCAACCGCGTGTTGTCAACCAACTCTTGTTGCAGCTATGCCCCGTATCGCGTCTCCAATCAGACTCACAGCCACTGAGGCCAGGCTCTGCCCGGTTTCTTGCCTGTGATCCCCAAATCAGGCCATCGTCAACGCCAAACCTCTTCCCACAGTACACAGTCGTTGTAAGTCGTACCTCGACACAATCCCCACATGAGTCAAGCGGGGAAATCCCAACACTGCTGCGATGGATGCGGATGCTGCTGAGGCCAATCCACGCCAGGCCAAGCAAATCAAGCGCCATGATGATCGTGCGCCGCCTTGCCCCTGGCTGAGGCCCTGTCAAGATCGCGATGTGCCTTGCCAAGATGCCGCTTGACGACAACGATACTTAAGGCACTGGCCGCCGTGCCTTTCCTTTTCCATTTCCTTTTTTTCTTCTTTTGTTTTCAAACCCCCATCCCATTCCACCGCCACCATGGAGGACACGCGCGTCTATGACCTCTGCATCGTCACCGACGCCACGGCGTCCATGGGCATCTACCTGCACGCCCTCAACGACTCGCTGCCCGAGATCATCCGCATCTCCGCCCTCACCGGCTGCTTCTCCCGCATCGGCATCGTCGCCTACCGCGACTACTGCGGCGGCGCCCTCACCGAGTGGTCCGGCTGGCACGGCCTCGACGCCCGCGCCGACTTGGACCATGTCCCGTCCAACGCCAAGGCCAGCCGCACGCAGCTGCTCGACTTTGCGCGGAACCTGCAGGCCAGCCACGGCGGCGACTGGCCCGAGGCCGCCAAGACGGGCCTGGCCCGCATGTACGCCAACATGCGCGACCACGTCGGCACCGTCGTCGTCGTCTTCGCCGATGCCCCGCCGCACACGCCCGCCACCGGCGGCGTCAACCGCATACGTGAGATGGACGCGCTGACCAGCAAGAATCACACCACCGCGTCGCTGTACGGGCCCCAGGCTGCGGCGTTTGCCGACTGGGTCACGCTCGCCCGCACGCTGTGCACCGGCCGCAAGCAGGCGCGCGTCTTCAGCATCGTCCAGAGCGACCTCGTCGACACCCTCGCCCCATTCACCTACCTCTCCGCCCGGACGGGCGGCGCGTGCTTCGAGATGCCCAACGGCTGCGGTGCGGCCGCCATCGCGCAGGTCACCATCGGCGTCCTGCTGACCTGGATGGGCGTCGAAAAGAAGGAGACGGGCGGCGCCAAGGCCGGCAGCGCGGCGCACCTGGCCAAGTACTGCCGCTACCGCGACACCGTGCACCTCGACAAGCTGTCCGGCGAGCGGGACCCCGAAGCCAAGAAGTACTGGGTATACCAGGACACCCCCGACGTCAGCAAGTGGTCCCGCGACAACCTGGAAAAGATCGGCGTCGGCCTCGCCGACCTCAAGCAGCATGTCGCCGCCCGCAAGCCCGCCATGGCCGACTTCAGCCAGCGCTACCGCGCCGACGAGGCCTACCGCGGTCTCGTCGTCGCCAACCTGCAGGACATCATCAAGACCGACGTCGCCGCCATCACCGTCAACCCCGTCTTTGGCAGCCTCTGGCGCACCGTCTGCGGCGACCGCCTCAACCCGGCCCGCGACGACCTGCTGGCCCAGTTCGGCCGCCAGGTCGACGCCACCACCGACGCCGACAAGAAGGCCCGCCTCAAGCAGTGGCTCGAGGAGTCGTACGACTACGAGGCCGAGATCCTCGAGCTCGTCGCCAGCGTGCCGGCCGCCGACCAGTTCCCCTGTGTGCTGCTCGACCCGACCGTGGACTTTGCCAAGCTGACGACGGCGGGTGGAGGCGGCGACGAAGACGAAGAGGACAACGACAACGACGCCCCGGTCAGCCTCACCCGCGGCGACCTGCTCGAAATTGGCCGCTCCTGCGACGCCCGGATCCTGCGCCGCCTCGGGCGCGTCCTGGCTCGCCTGACCTATGTCGCCACCGAAGACGACCTGCCCGGCCACATTGCCGCCATCACCGCCCGCCCCGGCGACCCCGGCCATGTCCCCCGCATCCCGCTCGCCCTCGCCCGCCCCGAGCACCAGCGCAAGTTCTGGAAGGTCTTGCTGCACACCATTGTGCCGGGCACCCTGCTGGGCCCGCGCCCGGCCGCCCTGCTGGCCGCCCTGTCCCTGCGCATGGGCCTCGCGCCGCTGCGCGACGCCGCCGACCGCGAGCTGCTGGCCTTTGCGCCCCACTGGAACACGCTCGACGTCCCGGAGACCTGGAACACCAACTGCCTCAACCTGCTGCTGTCCGCCGACCAGGACTATGTCGCCCGCCTGGCCGCAGGCACCACCACGCCCAGAGACGGCGCCACCGGCCTCCTCCGCAGCGCCGACCGCGCCCTCTTCCAGGCCCTCGTCGACTACAAGCTGGCCGAGATCAACCTGGACACCACCCTCACGGCCCGCGTCGGCTGGCAGCCCGACAAGACCAAGGCCCCCATGGGCCCCACCGTCGTCTGCCGCGTCTGCCACTTCCCCCGCTCCGTCACCATCATGGCCGCCCAAGGCATCTGCGGCCTGTGCGACAAGACCGCCTGCACCTGTGCCACCCCTGCCCTCCACGACGCGTGCGTCGCCGCCCACGTCTCCGCCGCCGACACCGCCGCCACCCCGCTGTGGTGGGTCGAGTGCAGCGTGCGCGCCTGCCGCAGCCAGTACGTCGTCTACAACCCGGACAACCTGGTCGTGCGGCCCAAGTGCCACTACTGCCGCGCCGCCGGCACCCAGGCCAACGACGCCGCGGCCGTGACCCAGGCGCCCTTTGTCGAGTGCCGCACCTGCCTGAGCCGCGTCATCTGGCCCGCCGCCTACCGCCCGCCCGGCTTCAGAGCCAAGGCGTTTGAGTGCCCCGCCTGCGCCACCGGCGCCGTCGCCACCGTCGTCGACGTCGCCACCTCGGCCCGCCAGCTCGTCGACGAGAACGGCCGGGAGTGGCTGCTGCGCAACACCGGCGGCAAGATTCTCGAGCCGCTTAGCGGCCGCAGCCTCTTTTACACCATCTCGACCGCCGGTGTCCAGGGCTTCGCCGCCGCCGTCGAGGTGCTCCCGCCGCCCCAGGGCCAAAACACCCTGGCGCTGGCCCTCCACGGCAAGGCCGTCCGCAACGTCGACGACGTCGTCGCCGAGCTGCGCCGCTGGATCGCCGCCCGCCGCGCCGAGGCCGACGCCTGCAGCCTCTGCTTTGCGGCTGCCAGCAAGCGCAACCTGCGCGCCGCCTGCGGGCGCCGCGGCTGCGGCCAGCGCATCTGCGCCGGCTGCCACAGCGACTGGTACGGCCTCAACGCCCGCGGCCGCCTGCTCAACGTCGCCGCCCTGCACTGCCCCTTTTGCCGCCGCCGGCCCGCCCCCGCCGTCGTCGCGCGCTTCGGCCTCAACACCCTCGGCAACCTGCGCACCGCCGTCGCCCGCGCCGGCACCTGGATCTACGCCTGGTGCAACGACTGCGGCCTGGCCCAGCCGTTTGCCGAGCGCGTCTGCGCGCAAGGCGCGCCGCCCGACGTCGTCGACTGGCAGTGTGCCGACTGCGAGGCCAAGGCGGCCGAGGCGGCACGGGGCAAGGACGCCGCGCCCGTCCACCGCTACAAGCCGTGCCCGGGGTGCGGCACCGTCACCGAAAAGCGCGGCGGCTGCGACCACATCGCGTGCCCCGTGCCGGGCTGCCACACCCACTGGTGTTTCTACTGTGGCGCGCAGGTGGACCCCCACCTCATCTACAGCCACATGGAGAAACAGCACGGCGGCTGGTACGGCGGCGCTCAGGTGGCGAATGACGATCCGGACGACTATGACGAGTTGGAGCCAGACGGGTTTGGCGAGTGTGACTGTGTGTTGGGTTGAATGTGTGTCGCCTTTTGTCCTGTTGTGTTGATTTCCTCTTGGCGTTCATGTACCGTATGCGTTTGTTTTGAGATATCAAGGTACAACGTACCGTATGCGACGAGTTTGACCTGTTTGAATTGGCGCAGAAGAGTGTTATAAATTGACAATTTTTCTGCCAAAACTGGTGCCTTTCAAAATCCTGACACGAAAAGGGGCATTCCCGGTAGCTCCTTCCATTGATTGCATTGTGTCTCGCCAACATGGCAAGAGCGAACAGCACGGCTTACAGTAACGCAAGAATTGTGAACACGGAAAGAACGCGGCACCGTCGCACTTTCCTCGGATTGCGCAGAACTGGAATTACAGTCCAGAGTTAGAAACCTCTGCAGACACGCGGGCTACAACAAGTGATAAAAAACTGTAAACATAACGAGGGTTCGTATCAAAGAGAGACCAGCTAGAAGATCAAGAGATACTATCAACCGAAGGCTCTCAGGCACAAGACAATCACGAGCCAAGGCCCGGAACTTCCTCGCTCGACTTGAATTTATTTTCCCTCCATCGGAGAGTGTATAATAAACGCAAAAGTAACGCAAAAGAAACACAAACATAACGGACGGCAAGCGTGCAGACGCCAGCAAGGGCCCGTCTACATAATCACCTCGTTGGCCACATCCCGCTTCAGCTCCTTGAACGGCAGGCACACGCAGTTCTGCACGCGCACCTCGTCGCCCACGCCGCACTCCTTGCCCAGGATCGTCACCGTCTGCACCTTGATGCCGTTCTTCACAATCGTCGTGCTGTGGTTCGTGACCGGCGTCGGCGAGCCCTCCACGCGCGCCCACGCACCCACGCGGCTGTTCCAGCCAATGATGGAATACAGCACGCACGCGTCGTGCTTGATCTCCGAGTCCTCGAGCACAATCGACTCCTTGATGCGCGCGCCGGCGCCCACCGTCACCCGCGGGCCGATGGACACGTTGGGGCCCAGCTTGGCCGTCGGGTCCACGTGCGCCGACGGGTGGATGAAGACGGGCTGGATGATGTTGGGGCCGGGCGCCGCCAGCTCCTTGGACGCCGTCTGCCACGCCTGCTGCAGGTACAGCGCGTTGGCCGGCACCGCCGACCCGGCCGTCTTGATCTGCCGCCAGAAATCGCGCGTCTCGTACACAAAGAACTCTTTGCTGTCCGCCATGTCCGACAGAATGTCCTGCTCCAGGCGGATCACCTCGTTGTTCTGCTCGTCGTTGTCGTTGTCGTACTCGATGAAGCTGCTCGCCAGGTTGTCCGACGACGGGTACGACACGAGGCGCGACGGCCGGTCCGTGCGGCGCTTAATCGCAGTGCGGATCGACGGGAAGATGGCCTCCGTGCTGAACAGGTACACGCCGCAGTTGATCAGGTTCGAGATGTGGCTCTCGGGCTTCTCCACGTAGTGCAGCACCCGCCGCGTGTGGCTGTCCGACACGATGCAGCCAAAGTTGCTGGCCGCCTCCTCGGACACGCGCGTGCCCAGGATCACGGCCTCGGCGTCCTTCTCCGTGAACATCTTGAGCATCTCGCCGAGCGGGAACGAGCAGCACACGTCCGAGTTGAGCACAAACAGGCGCTCCGGGCGGCCCTTGAGGATGGCATCGCGGAAGTGGTACAGGCCGCCGGCCGTGCCCAGCGCCTGGTACTCGCGCAGGTACTTGATGGACAGCTTGGGGAACTCGTTCGACGCGTCCTTGATGAAGTCGCGGAACACCGACTCGTCGTAGTAGCCGATGAGGTACACCTCCTGGATGGACGGCACCTTGGCAATGGCCGTCACGCAGTGCCAGATGATGGGGTGGCCGGCGACATCGAAGAGGGGCTGCAAACGCAGGCCGGTTAGTCGACGAGACGGCCCAACTCTACATCGAAAGGATCGAAAGGATCGAAAGGATCGAAAGAATCGAGAGGGCGTACCTTGGGAACATCCAGAGAAAGCGGCCGGAAACGGGTGCCGCGAGACGAACCACCGACCTAGACAACATTGTCAGCCACCACATGCCCATGCTGATATCGTTACACATCGTTCGGCCGTGCACCTCATGCCTCGCACCGCGCCAGCCTGCTCGGCTCGTCCTTGTCTTCAGACGCACCAGAATGACGGCCTTGGTCGTGGGGGTGGCCACACCGTTTGACTTCGCACGCTGGGGGAGTTGGAGAGTCGCCATTGTTGCTGTGTGTTGCGGATTGGGAAGAACAAGTGTATAGTGTATACGGAGGGACTGTAGATTGCAGAAAAAAAGGGACACAAAACAATGGGAGAAGACAAGTTGCGGTATAGACAAACTCGTGTTCCCAACAAGGACAGGTTTGATGTTTGTCTGCCAATTTCAGTGTCTCCGACTGCCCCCCTTTTCAGAGCTCCAAGCTGTAGCGGTGCCCACCGCCACCAGCCCACCTTGCATCGCTGGAGTGCACTGTGCAGTCGACATTGAGCCAATCAGACGCTAGTCATCCACTCGTGCTAGGTGACCCGAGCCCAAAAGGGACTCTTTTCGGACTATTCGTTTTGCCGGTTTCCGTCTAAGTACTTGTTCCTGCTCGATCCGTCCAGCGTTCTTCGCTGCCTGATTGGTCTTGCCTGAATAGGAGGACCCTCTTTTGTTCCCCTGAACTTGCCCAGCAACAGCGAAACGCCTGGGCAAGTGCGAGCTCTCGCTGGTGGCTCCTTCCTTAGATGCCGTCTGTTAAGAACACCCGCAAACCACCCGCATGTCACTAACAGCTGCTACCACCGCTCTGAGTGCACACCGCGTCCATGGCTCCTTCCCTCGACAGACGGTTTGCACAACTGCTGGGACTTCCATATTCACGCGTAGGTTCACGGCAGCTTTTTTGCTTCAAATCACGAACGAAATTCACCGTGACACTCGCCGTGATATTCACTCAATCGCTGACCGCCGTTTGCTTTGCGTTTGTGTTTTTAATCGTGTCTTACGCCCGCTGCTTTCGGTCCTCTGTTTGCCTTTGTTTACTTTCAAGTACACATGTTCCAGCTTCCACATTTGGGGGCTTTAATGCAGCACGAATGAGTGCAAGCACTGTTTCGTCGCGGAGTCTGACAGAGACCTCTGCCATGCGGCTGGTCAAGCAAGAGCCGGGTGGTTCTCCTGCTGCCGGAGTCAACACGGCCGCGAACCGGCTGGCAACAGCATCACAAGAACAGAATGGTCGGTTTGCCCGATCAGGCGCCCGTACGTCCGTCTGCTTTCCTCCTTGCTTTGCTTCATTTGGTCTACTTGGCCGTGCTTCGGCATCACGAGCTAACAGCCCCCAGCTAGCATTGACACCCGAATCGGCCGTCAGACCATTACCGACAGCCACGCCGGCAGTGGCGGTGGCGGCGGCGGCGGCAGCGGCGGCGACGACGATGATGCTCCGATCCTCATGGAGGTTCGAAAAATTAAGACGCAGCCCGCCGAGAGCATCCTGGACCGCCTTGACGCACCTCATGCGTTTCCTGCCCATGCCCACCAAGGCCCCAACGTTAGCTTCGTTTCGCATGGCTTCACGGCCATCGGGGACAAGGTCAAGGAGCTCAACGACACCTTGGGCGAGCTCCAGTCGCTCGGCATCCAGCATGTCACCAGTCTGCCCGAGCTTGTCCTCGTTGGCGACCAGTCTGCCGGCAAGTCCAGCCTCATGTCGGGCTTCTCCGATATTTACCTGCCGCGCAGCGAGGGCGCCTGCACCCGCTGCCCCGTCCACATCCGTCTGTCGGGTGCACAGGCTGGCGGGCCCTGGGCCTGCCGCATCTCTCTGCAGCAAGACTACGACTACCGTCCGCCGCAGGGCGTCACGCGTGCCAATCCGTTTGGTCCCTGGTTCGAGAAGCGCCGGGACATCAAGGACTTTGCCAATCTCAACGACCCCTCCAAGATTGAGGAGACGCTGCGGTGGGCCCAGATTGCCACTCTGAACCCCAACCGCGACCACAGCCTGTACAAGCCAGGCACGGGCGAGATGTGGCGCCGGTACCACCCGCTGTCCAGCGACGGCGGCGACGCCATCCGAAACGAAGCCGCCTTCAGCCCGAACACGGTCGCCTTGGACATCAGCGCGCCGGGACTTGCTGATCTCAGCTTCTACGATCTGCCGGGCGTGTTCACCAGTGCCAAGCAGGATGAAGATCAGTACCTCGTCCAGGTCGTCCGCAACCTAACGGCAAAATACATCTCCCACAAGCAAGCCATCATCCTCTGGGCTGTGCCCATGAATGTCGATTCGGAGACGTCCTCGACGTTTTCGATTATCCGTGAGAAAAAGGCTCAGGCCCGCACCATCGGCATCATGACCAAGGCGGACCTTCTCCCCCCCAACCCAACAGCTGCCGCCCAGTGGATGGCCATGCTCCGCGGCGAGCAGCACAAAGTTGGCCACGGGTACTTTATGACAGCGAGGCCCATCGTCACCGAAGATCTGCTCCCCAACGAGATGGTCCAATCGTCCCACCGCGATCCATCCAGGCCCGCCGACGAGCTGGAGCGCCAGGGCGCGTTCGAGGAGGCCTTCTTCAACAAGCAGCTGCCGGGCATGGCCAACCAGGAGTGGCGCGACTGCTTCCGCGAATTTGAGGACCGCTGTGGAGTCAATCGTCTTGTGGCCTTCATGTCCCAGCAGCTCGGTCATGAGTTTGCCAAGTGGTCAGTGGCTTTCCAACGTACAAAATACAAAATATCGAGGCAGACAGCCCAGCTAACATCCTCCGCATAGTCTTCCCGAGATCAAGGAGAAGGTGTCCATGAAACTTCTTGACGTCAATTACGAGCTGGCTCAGCTGCCTGACGTTCCCGAAAATCCCGAGCTCGAGATCCGCCGCAGTCTCGTTGCGTTCACGTCGCAGGTGCGAGCGATAATCGACGGGCCGCAAGAAATGTTGCGGCTACTCAACGAGATATTTCGCGAATTCAAAAAGGCAATTGCGGATCTCAAGCCCAAGTATAAGGTTAAGGTGGAGTCCCTCACAAATGGCCTAGCCAGCGGCAGCAGACACGTCGTCGACAACAATGGTCGCATCGACCTGACATCTGCGGACAACGACGATGCGTCGAGCATCTACGGTGGCTCTCCCGCGCCCGGACATGCGTCTGTTCCCCCTTCCGGCGCCCCAGCCAACTCCGTACCCCGTCGCCGGCAGCACAGCACATTCCTCGATGGGCAAACCGATCCCGCCGGCCCCAGCACCCCGTCCAAGCGTGCCCGTGGGCTCAACGATTCGGTCAAACAAGAAGACCAGTCCGAAAATGGCGACAATAGTCCTGCGTTCGGCGCAGGCTCGAAGCGTGTCCTCTTCTCACGGACTGGCCAGCCGCTTCAACGGTCGGCTCGATCTCTCCAGGCGGTGCGCGATATCATCGATGCTCAGATGCGGCCCGGTATGCCCAACATCGTCACCGGAGACATCTACAACTCACTGTCGATGGAGGCCATCCGGCCCTGGATCGACCCGTTGATGCAGTTGCTGGAACGCGTCTTCAACTTGCTCGACACCAAACTACATGAGCTCCTCTCAACCGCGCTCAGCAACCTGCGCAAGCGGCTCATCTACAAACACGCCTCATCCGCCCTCAAGAAGTTCCTGGTCGACCGCATGAGCGAGGTGCAGACGACGCTCCTGCAACACTACCAGCTCGAGACGCGCAAGTACCACACGCTGGACCGAGAGACCATGGCGCGCAATGAGGAGGCCGAGCGCAACCTCCTGGCGCGGCACCGCCACTACTACCGCATGGTGGCCTACCTCGGCGAGCAGCGCGGCAAGGAGCGGCCCCTTCCCAAGGACTGGGATATCATGAGCGACGACGAGCGTGCGCGCGAGAAGACAATCATGAACCAAGAGCTCGCCAAGCTCGGCGCGGACGAATACACCCGCGAGCTGGGTGTCTGCGCCAACGTGCGCGGCTACTACCGCACCGCCGCCACGCGCTTTGTCGACACGTGCACGATGCACATCTCGTCCGGTCTGCTGCCGGACGTCACGGACCAGCTCTCCAAGTCGTACCTGGACAACCAGCTGGGCGTTTTTGATAGGACAACACCGCAGACATTCCTGGACCTCATGGGCGAAGACGAGGCGACGGCCCAAAAGCGTGCCAGCCTCAAGGACGACCGCCGGCGGTTCCAGCTCACAATGGAGTCCATCCAGCGCCTCGAGAACTCGAGCCAGTACTCGCAAGAGCAGCCAACCCAGCCGCAGTCGCAAGTGCCTGTGCCAGCCACGGTGGATGGCGATGTTTAGGTTCAGTGGCAATATCAGTGGCTGAATATGTTTCCATTCCCTCTTTCCATGACGAATAATGAATTATATTGCTGTTCCGGATCTGTTTGTTTCGTTTGTCTTTACATCTCCCATCGCCGGTTTCCCTTTTGCTTTTTAATTCCGCACCTTGTACAACATTGAATAGCGGTTGTATTTTGTTTTTAGTTTTGAGCGGACGACAGTGATCGAAGCCACATTCCATATTCCATCCCGGCGAGGGGAAGAGAGCACGAAGACGGAAAGCACGAAGATACGGGTGCATGTTGCGATATACGGACATGCTTGAAAGATTTGACTTTGAATTGTATGGAAAGAGAATGTATTGTGGCAAGCAGTGGTGGGAATATTTAATAACCAGGCTAGAAATGAAATAACAGAAATCAAAAGCAATTGTAAGGTGATGACCATAACCGTCTAGTTCTAGGAGACGGGAAACCGCCAAAGTCTGCGATAAACATCGAGGCTTAGTGAACCTCGAAGACAAAACTATAAAGACATAGCAACACTGAAACACAAGCACAGAAAATTGCAACAGGAACAGAATTAGTAGTTAATTTCACCCCTACAAAGACAGACACCCTCGACATAAGACGAGTCGCAAAACGCATCCGTTCAAATGGGTATGATTGCAAACATGTTGAGATTGTCACTTTTCGTTTTACTTCCAACAGGCAGCCAGCAATGGTCCCAAGACAAAATACACAAGACAGGTCAAAAGGCGGATTATATTAACAAAGGAAACCGAAAGGACAAGGTTCCCATTTCCCAATGTCTCCCACCAACGTCCTATACAAACTGGTTTCGCCCTGCGAATTCAAGAGAGAGTAAAGAGATACAAAAAAATGCAACTATGAAACGCAATGAAAACCATGAGAGTGGGTGACAGGAAGAAAACGAGAGAAAATAAAACAAAAAAAAGAGAAAACACCGACAAGTCTGCTGTGACGGACAATGACATAATAAAACGTGGTAGATGCAAGAAACCACAAACGTAAAGGACTGATATGATGAATGTAGCGAGAGCCAAAAAAAAAAAAAAAAAACACAAGGAGACAATAATGCACATGATGCACCTGAACAAACGTGTTCCCCGACGCTAACCAAAATGATGCCGTATATACCAGGAGTGAGAAATAGGAGCGTGATACATATGTAGTCGTGTATGCGTAGAGTTGGGAAAGGAGGAAGAAGAAGGGCGGGGGTGTGCATGGGTGTGGAGTTGAGATCGAAGGCGAGGGGCATGATTAAAGCTCCTCTTCGATTGGCGACTGGGGCTCGGGGGCATTGAGCAGAGTCCGGACGCCGAGGGGGTGTGCGAGAGCATTGTCGCGAACGGCGCCAAAGTCGAGAATCTAAGAAGGAACGTCAGCAAGTGAGTGCTATACGGGGGACTACGCATGGTAGGGGGTGCGGCCAAACTCACTTCAATATAGGTAAGACTGTCTCGCTGGACAGCCGCGACACAGCGCCGAGCATCAAACTTGACCTGCCAGACGCCGGAGAGGTCGCTCAGCAGATCCTGGATGCACTCGCCGGTCTGGATATCCCACATCTTGACCGTCTTCTCGCTGCCGGAGATCACTTTGCGGCCGTCATGCTGGAAACAGGTGATAGCGCCGGTATGGGCTGTCAAGGTGCTCTTGCAGGTGCCCGACTCTGGGTCCCAGACACGGAGGGTGCTGTCGGCGGCCGCCGACACGAGCTTCTCGTCGCGGAGATCGAGCAGGCCGACCAGCAGGGCGTGGCCTTCGAGCGTGTGGAGGCAGGCCCCGGTGTCCAAATCCCATATCTTCACCAGCGAGTCCATCGAGCCGGAAATGCAGCGGTTGCGCTTCACGTCGAGAACGACACTGTACACCCGCTGCGTGTGGCCCTGCAACACGTGGAGCGACTCGCCCGTGCTGATGCGCCACACACGCACGGTGCTGTCGTAGCTGCCGGAGACAAGAATGTCCCCGTGCGCCGCAATCGACCGAACGGAGCTGGAGTGGCCTGACAGAATGCGAATAAAGTAGGGGCACTCGGAATCGTTGGCAGGCGGGCCGGTCTGGATGTAGCGCCGCGAGCCCGGCTCCGGCAGCCGCCACACACGCAGCTGGTTGTCGCGCGAGCCGGTGATGATGAGCGGCTTCGGTGGCATCATGACGGGCTTGCCGTCTTCGAACTTGCCGGTGGGCTTGGGCATGAGAATCTGCAAGCAGCGCACCGTCGAGGTATGTCCGTAGAACACTTGGGTGCACAGTCCCTTTTCAATGTCCCACACGCGCACGGACCGGTCGGTACTACCCGAGACGAGAATGTTTCCCTCGTACTGCAGGGCCCAAACACCGCCCTCGTGGCCTTCCAGCTTCTTCAGCAGCTTGCCGGTTTTGGTGTCGTAGATGTGGATCAACGTGTCGTCGCTGCCCGTGATGATCTTGTCGTCGTCAAACTGCAGGCAGGTGATGACGTGCCGGGGGTGGGCGGTAAAGGCCAGATGCTGTGGCTTCACCTTGCCGCTTGTCCAGTTTTGGCGAATCATGTAGTGGCGGCGGTAGAGGGACTTGAAGAGGTGGAGGTTCCGCAAGCTCGGCAGACCAATCTTGGGGTTCGGAATGGCCGCAGCAGCCGCACTGGCGGCCGACATAGGGCCTTCGGACTTGTGCACCTGGGGCCACTGCGACGGCTTCTCTTCCTTGGGCGCTACCTCCTGAGCACTCGCCCGCCGTTTGGACCGCTCGGTGCCAGGGTACGCCGTAATGCCACGTTTCCGCTTCGACGTGCGCACCCGCGGCGCAGACGCCTCTGGCTTGGACGAGCGAATCAGGTCGGTCTCGTCGACCTCCATGCGCATGCGCAGACTCAGATCGACCTCGCAGCCATGCGCACCGACGGGGTCCTGCCAGCCCCAGCCCTGTGTAATGGCCCGTTGCAGCTCGCCCGACGGCAGCTCGAAACCAGCTTTGTCAAACAACTCTTTCCAGCCCGTTTCGTTGCTGTCCACAATGATGCGCCACTGCTTGGAGACCTGCGCAGCACGGCACAGGTCCTTGAAGTCGAGGTAGGAAAGGATGTGAAGGCTGAGCTCGAGTGGGAGCCGCTTGAAGAAGTCGCACTTGAGGGCCGGGTTGACGACATCGGCAACCGTCTGAAGCGTCTTCCGCGAGCACCTGCGCAGGAATTGGTACATCATAAAGGTCTTCATCTCACCGGGCATGGTATCAAACCGCTCCAACATAGACTGCACGGCCATGAAGTTCATCCGTGACACAGCACCATCCGACAACGAGTTGGCGCCATCGGGCTGGGAGAAAGACTGGTATCCCGGATATGGCGACGAGTCAGCAACTTCGGTGGACTGTGATCGTGTCGTCACCCAGAGAGGCTGTCGAAGAATGCGTTCGTCTAGTTCGTCGTGGTCGTCGTCGGGAAGCTGCGACGTCGGGTGCACAGCCGACAACGTGGGAGACAAGCGTGGGCTGGGAAGACTGGCATCCAGCATGCCCACATTGCCGAGAACCCGCGGCGGCAGCGTCCGCACGGTCTGCTGCAAAGACTCGTCGGCATCGGGGAAGCTGTCGGCGTCGGCGTCGGCATCGGCAACTGGTGGCGTGGCCACGGTGTTGCTGAATACGGTATGTGCGTCGCTCCCGGTGGGACTAGCAGCCTCATATGGTGCTGGCGTTGTGCTGGGGCCCGATTCTGTCTTGTTGTCGCTGGCTGCCCGTTCCAGACGCAGCGAACGGAATCGAGACGAGCTTCGGTTACCGGTGCTGGCACCGTCGGGTGTGGCGAGATATGAGGACGGGCCGTTTGCAAGGTCGCCGTCACGGTCGTCTTTCAACAAGCCAAGGCCCAGCCGTCTTGGCCGGTCGGCTGCGGAAGTGGAGGCGGACGCCGTTGTGGATGTGGATGTGTTTGCCGACGCCCCTATGTTCGAGGAGCGGAGAACCTTCCGGCTAATGGTGGAGACGGGAGAACCAGCCACGGAGCTGGAACGGGTCGACCGGCGCAATGAGCTGTCGGCAGGCTGCTTCGACGACGACGATGCCGCCGCCGCCGCCGCCGCCGGCTGGGAGGGTGAATCATGGCGTGGCTGGCTCTCGACGCCGGGCTCGGGCTTTATCTGGCTGTCGTCGAAGATGCGTGCACGCGGTGGGTGGCGGTGAAAGGGGTTGGCCCGCAACAGGTGGTCGTCCTGGCTGTGTTCAAAGGAGGAGTGGAATTTCTGCGAGTCGTCAAACGACGACCAGGAGTCGCTGTCGATGCCGTCGTCGACGTCGAAGCTGAACTTGGACAGCTCTGGCGGGGTCGGTTTGGAGGCAAGCGGGTACTCTTTGGCGTCGAGCGACTGGAGTGCCCTCGATTCACGGACGTACAGCGGCGGGTATGACCGCTTGGTAGTGGTTGTTGTCGTCACGGTCTTCGTCTCGACGCACTCGGCAATCTCAAACTGCAGCCGTGCGCCGTGTGCGGCATCAGTCTCGGCGGCATCGTTCCAGTTGACGGAAACCATTTGACTGGAACGAGGCCGGCTGACCTCGGTCGTCTTCTGGGGAGCCTGCGAGTCGGGCATTGTGGGATTGTCGTGGTCTCCCCGCAGGTGACTGAGACCACGCGACTTGTAAATGGTCGTCAAAGTAGACGAGGGCGTAGCAGAGGGAAGGGCTGTTGTCGTGGATGTAGATGCACGTCGATTCAGGAGACAAAGGTTCAAAGAGAGGGGAGGGGCGGTGTCGTGATGACTAGAGTGCGTTAGTAACGGCACGGATCGGGATGTGTTCGGCAAAGGCGAGGGATGTCGACAGAGGGAAAGACGAGCGATGCAGTGTCTTTTTGATACGAATCCAGCCGGGCAACGCAGCGGAGGAGACTCACGAGGCGGTGGTCAAGAGGGTGGAAAAGGCTGTCCGGATCGATAACGATTTACGCGGATTCCAGGGCCAACGCGTGCATGCTCAGCATTGTATACGGGCAGCCAAAGTCGATGTGATGTGTCCGTTCACGGGGTGTCGTGTGGAAAAAAGAGGCCGTGGAAGTCGATAGGCAGCCAGGCGGACAGATCCAAGGGTTGGGAGCAGAAAAGCGAGGCCCAAAACAGAGACGAGGTGGACACGAGGGGAGAGTGAGGCACGGAAAAGGGATGCGTGACAGGACCTGCGAAGGGGGGCGGCTGGCAACACCCTCAGATGTGCAGTCGTGTTCGCGTTGGTCGTCGGTTTGTGTACAGAGGGTGCGTCTGTTTGGGATCCGCCTGTTGGTGATTTGTTGTTGGCTGGTGAGAGGAGAGAAACAAAAAAAGGCGAAGAAGAGGAAGGCGATCAAGAACAGAAAGAGGGTCGCCGACGATGAGGCCGAAAAAAGGCTGGGCCACCAGAGGAAGGCGGGTTCTGCCTCCTCCTCCGCTCCTTCCTCTTACTACGCCTTAGCCCAGCCTGGCCTAACGGGGGGAAAGGGCGAGTGGTGGAACCACCCAGCAGCCGGCGATAAAAAAAATTCCTGTCGACTGGCCTGGCGCCCCCCTCTTTCGGTCGCTCCTTCCCCTTACTCAGTAAAAACAGCCAACGAAACAAGTGGATTTCACGCCTAAAATTTCCGCTCACGTGCCACGGCGCTCACAAATTTCTACGGAGCACGCTTTTCTGCCTGCGAATGATGGCCCTGGCCTGGCCTGGCCCATAATCGTACACTAGTTACCGCGTACTCCGTCTACTAAAAGACTGCCAGTGAAACTGCCAGTGAGACTGCCAGTGAGACTGCCAGTGTCAGGCACCGCGTTGGGGCATACAGAAGCCATAGGCGTAGAGTGCACTGGCGGGCGTGGCGGAAGGGGCGAGGCGCTCTGTCATCCGCCCTTTCCCTCCCGTTCTGTTGTGCAATGTGACAGAATCTGGAAAGGACGCTCAGGTGACTACCGCTCGCGCCTGCCTTCGTAATCCGTACATACTGACGAGTCCAAAACGTCATATCACAAATGCCACGAGAAGCGAGACACTTGTAATCCACGAGACACTCTTCCCGGCGTGGAGCGTGGTGAAAGGTAGTGACAAAGGCTGGGGAACGGGACATGAGGCAGCCTCTATCCCAGCACACATGCACAGGCGTCTTCGGCGACCAATGCAGGCTGAAAGGAACTGCAGAAGTGATTGAGAAAATCCAGCACGGCGGAATCAAGAAGTCTGTAATACACCGCACAATTACACCTCTCTTACAGCCCATCCTCGCCACCGCATCCAGGGGCGACAAAGCTGTTTACTTTCCTTTGTGATCATTCGCGTTTGACCTTTTGCTTACTGCTTGGTATTTCGCACCTCCCTCGCGTTCCGCGCGCCACTGTTCTTTTGGCTGCCCGGTGCTTCGGTAGGCTGCGTCTTGCACATTATTTACCAGATGTGCATGCCACCAGTCTGTCACAAAAGGGGACAGAGTGTCCGCCAACGATGAACGGACAGCATCTCTCCGCTCGCGCCCGTGCCCTGTTGTCTTTGTTCTGCCTCAGCGCGCGTCGCTATTAGCCCACTATTTTGCCTCTTTCATGACTCCCTTTGTAAAAGTGGAAAACCATCAGAACTCGGGCCCGGCCTTGGTTCCCTGGTGCCGTCGTTCTCTTGTCCGTTGTTATTCGGCTAGGCCTGTTATTTAACCCTGCCCGCGCACCCACGGCCTATCAACAACGAGAAAGGTATCTCGTTCCGTTTCCCCCCCAAACTGGCTGGCCCTTGTTACGCGCCGAAGATCGCGTCATGCACAGACCCAACAGACCGTCCCACTGCGCCTGGCGGGCACATTGTGATTGCGGGTGGGAAGAAAAGCGAACTGCACTGTGCTAGCACGAAGCACACAACACTGACAGAGGCGCGTTTGTCTTGTTATCACACAAGTGTTCCCAGGGAGCCACAACCTCCGATGACAAGACGACATAAAAGGATCAAAGCAGCAAGCAAATGGAGTACGGCGGAGGATATTGTTACAAACAGCTGTAAATTGCTTCAAAGCTGGTCTTCAATTCAAGACAGCAACAGAGCCATTTTCTTTTGGTCGAACCTTGAAAATAATTAATTTGCCTATTGGTGGTCGGGAAGTAATATGAACCGGGCATTAAAACTAGGAGCATATGGTTCCCCTTGTAGAGCGTATATATGGCAGAAAAAGGCACATTGTCATTTGTACCGGTGATGGACTGTTCGGTTCTATTTTTGTTATTTCTGTTCGTTGGTTGCTGTAGTTCGTTGTTATGAATATCTGAAATCTGTGTAATGCCCAATATTTATTGTCTAGATAAATCTTTCTACTTGGTTTTTAGAAAAGAGGAAGAATGAGGTGTTTTTTCTTACTTTAGTCTTTTTAATAGAAAAAGAACAGAAAAGAAAAGGTAAAAAAAAATCGTCTATGTAGAAATAAATAAACACAACAGAAAAAAATATATCAAAAAAACAACGAGAGAGAAGCGTTTACTTGATATTGCACAAATCAATATTTAGTTTCCATCAACTATCCCAGAAAACCCTTATCGTCACTCTTACGATCAACCTTTGCGTTCTATGTGTTATGTTTTGTCCCCTGAATGGTCCTCGTACGTCGTAATTACCTCGAGTTTTGAACAGATGAACGCGAGTTGGTTCTATTTCTGGTGTCGTTGCCTGTTCTACAGCGACTTTCCAGCGCTACAGCAAATCGGGAGCGTGGGTCTTGTCGAGATCAAGTACCTCGCAGCGCGAAACTCAGTGAAGCAGGTACAAAGCCCGCCAAACTTTTGGGTCGGAAGTGGGTTTTATCCGGGGCCAAACGGCCCCACCCGCCACACCTGCCCACTTGGGCCTCTGGCTTGGTGGTTGCTTCATGTCTTGCTGGCAAAGCTCCCTGGCGCCTTCCCTTTTGTTGCACACGTTCTCAGAAAGGAAATGAGCACGCAAAATACCTCTCCGAAGAGTTTCCAACCAACGTCGCCTGTTCCCCAAATCCCCCTCCTCCTCATTGTCACCTCGACGACCATCGCGACGTAGCGACACGGATTCGGAGCACATATTGCGCTGCAATCATTCGACGAGGCAGGCTGCTCTCGACTTTGCTGCCTTCCATGCTTGCCGCTGCTGTGCTCTGAACCCGTCTGGGACGACATTATTTTTCTTTTGTTTTGCTCACCTCCCCGTTACCTTTGCCACTCCCTACACTCTTACCACTCGGCCAGCGGCTACACATTGCGACCGACGATAGACGTCGGCGGACGGCGACAACGCCGACAGACAGCGACGATGGGCAACTGCAGCTCGTGCCTCGGAGCACGGCGTAGGAGCGTCTACGAAGAGGTGAGCTGGGGATGGGATTGGGCAAGCGAGGCGTCGTCCCCAGTGTCGAGCAGAACGGACGGAGACTGACAAATGGCTGCCGCTGCAGGACGATGAATCAAGGCTGCTGTTCGACGATGCCGATGGCGCACACTACGGCAGCTTCGGCGAGCCGGCGATGAACGACCAGGACGAAGCGCAAGAGTCGCAGCGCGAGTTTGAGGCGCTCCAGAGCGTCGTGGCCCGCACGTCCGACAACATGGTCGATGTCTTTGAGATTGCCCCGCCACGGCCGAACCCGAACGGCATTGCGGCGCCGTATGCTGCACTCGGCATCCCCGACAACCGTTTTGCGCAGTACCAGAACCTGCTCTCGAAGCTCTCGGTGACCGACGAGGACGACCCGGACGCCTGCATCGAAGAATTCGACAGTGAGACGACACAAGTCCCGCAGGCGTACGTAGACGCGCTGCCGACACAAGTGGACGTGGCCGGGCCCTTTGTGAGCAACTTTACCGACGCTGCTCCATAAAACGGAACGATGAGCAATGTTCCGCGACACGGCTCATTTTGGTCTTCGTCGTCTCTCGTCTACGTTGACTTCATATACCGTCGACCTGCTACGAAAGCTTTTCTCGCAACCTTTCTTTTCTTGTCCATCTGCACACGATTGCACGCATCCACGCAACACAGCACAGCATTTGATAGTATTGTTTCCTTTACCGTACGCCTTCGGCAGCAGACGGACGAGTCTGGGCTTTTCGTCCTATCCATCTCGGCCTTCCCGACGGCGGGAGACCGCACTGTATTATATCGACACTGTTCGGCCCTTTTCTTTTCGCTATTTCCTTTGTTCACTTGATACCCGTCTTAGTGTTATAATATACAATTTCAACCGCACAAGCACACGCCACAACTGCAACTGCAACCACGATCGAAGCCAAGCTTCGAAGGCAAGCATTCGGGATGGAGGTTGAGGCTGAGGCTGAGGCCGCCATCGGGACCATGACCGACCGACTGTGCTGTGTTCCTGCCGTCCCCTCCTCTCCTCACGCCGTGATATGTTTTAATCGCCGCCGATACGATGCAACCTGGACAGCTAGCCGCGAGCCGTCCTGGCTGCCTTGGCATCGGGACTACCGCAGATCTGACGTTCAAAGGTCATTCTAGAAGGTTATTTGACGAACTAACTAGACAGCCTCCTGGGCCATTGGTTTATTTTTTTATTATTTATTGTTTTGCTTGTTTCAACATAGTGCCATGTACGACAAAGTTTGTCAAACTGCGTCCCCCTCACCACCTTTCGACGCGCAACAGTCACCAGCTGCACTCACCATTCCACCTCCCCAAACCACCCTTAGCCGCGTCTCTCAGATGCCCCATATCCGGGCCTCAGCACCCATTGAGCATCGGCCACGTGCGCATGCTGCCGATGTTGCTTCTCAGTGGAGACCCTAGTCCGCGGCTTGCAGTTCTAGCTTCGTTTCCGGTTGTGGTTTTTTTCCTTCTGCCATTCTACGAAATACTGTTCTTCGTTTTCGTTTCTTCTACATCTCCCTTGTTCTTCTTCTCTTTGCCGTACACCCCTGCTCACTCGCCCCTGTTGTCGTTCGTCACAAGCGCGCTGATCTGAGTGCTCCGGCTTTCAGGAGGGATTGAGCTGGTCTGAGTTTGACAAGCCAGGCCTCTGGGCCCGGCCTGTGGACGACCTGTAGGGGTAGTGACCATCATCACTGGTGAACCTCGCTGGGATGCCTTGCTGTTCCTTGCTGTTCCAGTCTCGTCCGCCGGAACCTCCAGGGCAGTTCATGTGAGCCTCTTGACCCTGACTGCGTCAGCCTTCTTGGCCACTACGAGATCAAAACAAACAACCCCTGTACGCGGTGCTTGCTCCGACGCCCCTCCGCCGCTCCCCGCTTCAGACTCTCTTTTCTTGCTGTTTTGCCGCGCTGCAGGAAGTGGCTGTTTGGAACCACCGATTCACTGAGATGCAAAATACTGCAGTCACCCACCTGTCCTTCTACACAAGCCTGGGTAGACTAAGTATTCCGGTCCTTGCTTCAAAAACAACAGTGGCAACATTGTTTCGCCTGTTAGTTACCTACGTCACTGGTCTTCGATCTCGAATCCCCGCTTGTTGGCCCCCAACTGTCCAAGTCCATATTTCCTACGTCCCTTTCGTCCGTGGCTTGGTGCCGCCATTGTTCCAAGCCAAACAATGCCGTGCCGCTACATACTCGTACGGTCACATACAGGAGCGCGGGCATACTGCAGGTGGCAGGTGCCTGCTCCCTGCTGTATTCTTCTATGTGGCTCGCGAGTAAGACAGAGGGGAGCATCCACTGTCGCGTCACGCTCTCCCGTGACTATGCGGTCCTGTGTTGGACCTATGCGGCCCTGCTTGAGACAACCGCTACCACCTATTTGTCACAACTGCTCTGTACAAGACAAAACTGTCGACACGGCGGCACCATCAACACGGCCTAGGGTCAACGATGCTGTTGATACTGTACAAGCGCTCGCTCCTTTTGCACTACTGGACTGCTATTTCCTCTCTGGTGCCTTTCGACAGGCATGTCGGCAGAAGAATGCGGTGCCACTAAAACTCAAAGTATGAATAAAAGGCCAGCACAGAGCGAAGAGCAGAAATTCGAAAACGACGTTAGAATCCACCAGATCAAATTTTATAGAACAGCAAATATCCTTTCCATGCCCCACCGACATGAGGGAAAGACTGACGACGCAGAGATGCCACAGGGAGCTATACAACGTCCTCCGGTGCAAGCGACAGCAAACGCAGCAACGATAATATTCAAACGATGAAAACCAGGGGTAAGCAAAGAGCGGCAGGCACAAAATGCCGAGGACAAAACAAGGCCAACTTGAACATCATCGACAATTAAACACAACGGCCAAAGATGCAGCAAGACCACAGGCACAACGAAACAACAAGTGGCAAAGCAAGAGCAAAAACAAGAACGAAAACGAAAACGAAAACAGGAACCATAAAACAACAAAAACAAAAAAACGTCAGAAAGTAAAGATGGGACAGACTGCCAGCATGGAGTGGCTATGTCCATGGGAATAGGTATAGAAACGCACACGACCCCGCCGCCAATACAGCTCCTTCAACAGCGCTACAGCGTCTCCGTTGCACCGGCACCGCCGTCATCACCACTACCACAACCACCAACAGCATCCCCTCTTCCAAGCTCCGAAGGAGAGACAGAAGCCATTTGACATGCAGCCTGCCCTGCATGCGTCCTCCCATGCTCCGTCGTCGTCTCCTGCCAATTGCCTTGGCCATCACGCACTGCTGGGTACAAACGGGGTGTTAGCAGGATGATGTAATATCGAAACTTCTCGCCGCTTTGCTTTGGTCTTCTTCTCGACTTTTCTTTCCTTGGCGGAATGGTTCCCACCCGACAACACACAGAACATACCGGTTTGTCCAAACATCTGACGCGTTCTGATTGCCCGATTTGTCCGCGGCCGTTCACGCGCCGTTCAAGCCACGCTGGCTTGCCGGGTGACATGGTCCTGGTACAGCTGGTTCACCCGCTCCTCAATCTCCATAATGTCTTGCTGCGTCTTTTCGATCGTGGCCGGCCGGTTGCCCTCGTGCTGCCAGCGCTCCACATCTCGCTGCAGCTTCTCGAGACGGCGGTTCTTCTTCTCAATCTGCTCGCACAGCTTGCACGTCTCGTTGCGGTACACGGTGGCGTACACCAGCTTGAGCCCGCACGTCTCGCCGGTGCGGTACTCCTTGGGGCACTGCTGGCGGAAGTTTCCCCACTTCCAGTAGCCGCATGTCCAGCGCGTCTGCTCAAAGTAGCACATTTTTTGTTCGTCTCTTTTCTGTGCGCTTTGCAGTCTTGGTGGGACGAGTATACACGGGCCGTAAGCGTGTCGTCTCCTCGGAAGCTGGCTAGTCGGCTAGGCTTGGTCGTTGCTGCACCCTGCGCTCCATTGTTAGCCCATGTTGCTCATGCTGCTCATGCTGCTCATGCTGCCCATGCTGTCAGTGTCCTGGCTGCTCCATTGTCCACCCTTGTTTGACCAAGGTGTGTTTCTGCATGCCGTAGCGGGGTTTTGCAACATGGGGCATCCTTGTCGCGCATCCATTCGGGAACGTCTGGGGACACCCTCGTCCTGACTTCCCTCCTCTTTCAGTCTTTTGTCTTTCGGGTCCTTTGCTCTTTGCCTCGTCGATTTCTGTAAAGAGAAAGACGTCTCCTGCTGTCTTGGGTGCAATGTGACTAGCTCCTTGTGTTGTGTGTATCCTCCACTTTTTTGTTTTTTTTGTTTCGTTTTGGTCTCCGTGTTTCTTTCTTTCCCTTTTCGGATGGTTTTATTGACTTACAAGACGAGGGAGGATGGGTTGCCGGGACTGTTAACGAAATACGACCGAGTTCCGAGTGGCAGCAAGGAAACAATCAAACGAGTAACGACGGGGCAGCAAAGGGGCTTTGGCTTTTCTTTGTCGAGATGGGCTCGGCCGTTGGTGCTTGTGTACGAATGTGTAGAGACGGAGATGGAAAACGAAGGCAAGGCTGGGTGAGTAACAAAAGACGAGGAACGGAGGAGGATCGAGACCATCTGATTTTGATTTTGGTCTTGGTCGTTTTGTTGTTCTGTTTGACTCTCAGGCAACACGACGGCGCGGGTTACTTATACTTTATTTTCTGCAGAAGAGAGCCCTTCCCCATCTGCACTCTTGCTTGCTGGAAGGGAAATAAAAAAGAAATAACGAAATTTACAGAAAACAGAAAACAGCCAAAAAAAATGGCGAGGGTGGATACGCTTTGCTGTGAACAACACATCGGGCAAAAATAAAAATAAAATAATCGAGCCCGAGCCAAACTGCAACGCCATCAAAGGGAACGAAACAATGGCACTGCAAGGACGGTGCAGGAAGGGGGGGACATTTCACTGTGACTGCGTCCCCCCAAAAGGGGGGTGTGGAACAGACCAAAGAAAAAGAAACCAAATAAAAAAAAATCAAAGACACGACGTGCAGAAATGAAATGGTAAATAAAACCAAAGAAGAAATAAAGTTAGCGGCAATCACAGCAATTGCATGCAGAAAACGAGAAGCTGGGGGTGTTAGCTGTTAAGTTGGCTTGTTGTTTGTTAGTCGGGGTAGCATTGAATAACAAGCCCGACGGAACAAAGAAAACAACAGGCAATTGCAGGCAATCGGACGTCTCAATAAATACAGACTGTATCGGGAGCTGCATTGTGTTTCTTTCCAACACAGCCAATGTCCGGCCTATGCTTTCCTCCTCGTCTTTGCTTTTATCCTGCTCAACGCGCATTTTGATGGAGCCACGTCGATCATGGCACAAGAGCTCCAACCCGTCTTGAGCCTCCCCACTATTACGCAGAAGCCACAGCAGGACTGATTGTGGCCCCTGATACAATGGCATGGACGGACTGAACGCACCACTGTTTTGTAGAGTTTTACTACGATGCTCGCTATGTGAAGCTGGCGCTGCGAATTCAAACACAGTCGGAAACAAAGTGGGAGACAATCCTCGTACAGCCGCTGCTAGAAGACGACTCTGTTGTGCGGCCCGGCCAGCGAAGCATGCAGTCTCCTCCATCCTCTGCCTCTCCCTCCTCTTTGTAGCGGGATGTAACGGCGTCCGCAACGGGCAGAGCCTTCTGTCGAATTCTGAGGCTGACGGGGCCAGTTGTGGGTTAAGGTTCGAGGGCGGCCCATGCAGACGACCGCCCCCCCCCTCGTCAGACCTGTTTGCAGTACGAGTCTTGGCCGTGGCATGGCAGACCAGGCCAGGCCGGGCCAGGCCCGAGGAATTTTAAATAAATTAGATAAAAAGAATAAAGAGAACCATGTGCATGCAAAGGTTCAAGGCCCAAAAAAATGCTGGAAAGACCAAAACGGCAACGTTAAGCAGCATCGCTTCAAGCGTGGTATTTTTGGGCGCGCTCCGGAGCTACGTATACATCTATTTTGATATCCCCAGCCACCGCTCCTTTCTTTTTTTGTGCTTCTCTGCTCCCAATGATACCTCGCCTGCCTTTCGCTGTGATTCTGGCTATCCGCTTTCCGATTATCTCGGAGCCGAAATTCAGGTCGGTTGGGCTGAGCCTGCGTTGCATACTGTTTTGGTTATTTTATTCACTTGCTTTCTTTTTCCCCCAGCGGCAAAGTCATGCCCGGCCACGACACTTACTGCACTCCGTTTTTATTCGCGCAGGAGCATCGATTTTGCATAATGTAGCCGTTTTCTGTTATCGTCAGCCAAACGACCAGAGTCCACACCGACAGCGAGCGAGCGGAAGAGTGCTTCGGCTGGCAAGCATTCCAACCACACATCAGCATCGACGTGCATGCAAAATGTGCATGCAAAATGTGCATGTAGCGGCGCATGTCCGCAGTTCCGGCACAGAGGTGGCGTTTGTCTGCACGTACGAGATACGAAATACAGTCCCCAATACATGAGGAGGAAAATACATATTGGCTGGCCGAACAAAGCACATGGCTTTCGACGCTGCTCCACTGCGTGCTGAGGTGCATGCTTTTGATATGTTCGTGTACATCATCAGCGTGAACGTTTGCTCACGTGGAGATTGAGACTACTTTGTCTTGCCAACACAAAATCGAAGCATGCTAGCAACTGTGTTTTGCAAACAAGGTGGCTTGCTGTTTATTGTCTCCTGTCTTAAAGTGTATTAATCAATCCTGTGGTCTCGCATATGCTGCGGGCGAATATCAACGCGAGGGACCACATCCGAAGGCAGCGCAATACGTGAGATGAGACATAGCTGAGCCGATTGGGGACGCTCTGTCTTTGGAGGGTGTCCTCGGGTGTATCGATGGAGTATCCCCCGTTTGGTCTCTTCTGGCCAACTCATCCCATCACACTCTACCTGCAGCAGGCTGCGTCCACCAGACCAGATTGCGTTGAGTAGAGCAAGGATACATGTATGTGTTGTACTCAATGTGCACTTTTTGCGCTTCCGCAGCTTCATGTAAGCTCGTTTGTCTTTTCTTTTCTATTTCTTTTTCTTTATTTTTTATTTACCTTCACCGTCTGCATTATGAAGGTGCGTTACAGCGGCTGCGGCATTTGATCCGGTTTGTGAAGTTCAAAACCGCTCAGACCGAGTTGTCTCACTAGCCATCTTTGTCTTCCGTCTGGGCCTTCATTTCCACGGAGGGTGGTGTGTATCTGGAAGAGACACTGGTGTGTGCATGTCGAGAATGCCATATTGGTCGATGTACAGGACGGCTGCCGGAACGATTCGATGCCAAAAAGGTTCTCGACGAGGCAAGAAAGTATGGGTTGCAGTCTATCATGAGGTAGACGTTGTCGAACGTCGGATTACCCGGCGTCGAGACGATGGCCTCATGGATGTGCAGGCGTCCTTTACACCAGCTATCTGCCTGCATGGGCTTTGCGGATCGATGTTGGGTAGGTGAGAACCCGACAATTCACCGGGAAAATGCACGTTGCCACTGAAAACAACAGCATGCACGCCTACGACAGGTGGACGTGCCCGCCGTAGCGCGAGATAGCACCGTGTACAGTTCGCTAGGAGTGCCATCTATTGCGTTGCTTCAATGGAAGGTTATAGCCACAGCATTCTAATCTATGGGCTGGCGGCTCGTTTTCCGTGTTTTGATTTTGCTACGACGCCGCTGTCCTCTCCATGGCCCCCAGCCACCCCCTACGAACAACAATAACAAAGACAGAAGGGGCCCAACGAAGGAGGAACAAAACCACGGAACGCGGCTGGTCAGCCGTTCTTCACGTCCTCTCGCCATCGAGGCCGTCCTGACCGTCATGTCTTAACGTGCCTCTGTAGGCTAGAGTCACCTCCTCCACTCGTTGACCTGCCCACACACACTCTGCCCACGACAGTCCTGCGGGCAGCAAGCAACGTGGCGATGTTTGAGTAGTTGGTGAGTCCTGTTCTTTGTGCTTATGGAAGACCTGCGACTGGCATCATGCAGGTCGGTCTCCCAGCTGTGCAGCGCCGCTGTTCGCGTATGCCTTGACACGACTGCGTGCAGAGAATATGCAGTCTCTGCAGAGCACGCAGAGCATGCAGAGCGTGCAGAGCATGTAGAGCGTGCAAGACATGCAGAAACAAGTAGCCGTACTCTTTCGTGCACCCAGGGTAGCAAGCAGAAGCAGAATATGCAACGACAACAATGCACACTCCCTTCGCCTTGCTATCTTCATTGCATTTCTGGTTGATACCATCCCGCATGTATTTGCTGCACGATGCCTGCCTATTATCCGTTCCTATTTTCCGTTACGTTGTCCGCGGTCGCTCAATACGACTCGCTCAGGCCCCCCCTCTCCTCGGCACGCCTCATCGGTCTATTGGAGTGTGCCACGGCATGCAACATTCAAAGAAAAGAGGTGACTGTTTGAGTGACACACCACGCATGGGAGAGGGAGGGCGGGAGCCCCCGTCCAGACGTGCCAGCTCATAGCCAGACCAGGGGGGGGGGGGAGGGAAGGAGGGGAAATGGGAACGAAAGGGACCAACCGCGGGACATGCCCGCTAGCTCGGACAAAAAGACGTGCAACGACGAAGAGGCGACCTGGGGGGTGTAAGAGAAGCTAGAGAGTGAACGGGAAAGTGGGAAGAGGGAAGGGCAGACGGGAAACCGGGAATGGGGGCGCGTAAAGGCTCCCGGGCTCGCGTGAAGAGCCCGCCTCCCACTGTCTCAGTCTCGAGCAGCTTAAAATAATGTGCTGCCTGACGGTGTCAATGGACTCACTTGTTTGGTGGTGTTTCTTTTGAGCGTCTTACATTTTCAAGTGTGGGTGGAGATGAACGGCGCGCAAAGGTCGCCA